CCCTTCCTCCCTCCACCAAACGAACGCCCTTCGCTGCCCTCCCACTTCTAACCTCTCCGTCCTTTTCTTTTCTTTCCCTCCCGTCGTTCAACACAAACCTTCTCCCTCCCCTCCTCACCTTCTCTCTTTCTCTCTCTCTCCCTCCCCCTCCTCCCTCCTCCCTCCTCCCTCTTATCATTCAACATTTTATCTTTCTTTTTTTCTTCTTCTCCTCCTCCCGTCTCATAATTACATATGAGTCGGTGACATCCCGCTCTCAACTCGGTGTCTCTTTTTTTTATTTTTGCTCCTCCACCCCTCTCCGTCCGCCTGTGGCTGGACGCTTCGAAAGAAATCCCCCTTCTTGACCACACAAACCCCCACCCCAAGGAATGATCAGACATCAAACCGAACTTCTGTCGTCAAACCGTCTCCAGAACTGGTGTGAACGTACTGAAGGGTTAATACCGCCGCGTTTTCCTTCGCCGTTGCTACAGCTCTAGGAACGCCTCCTGGTCCCGCTGTGCTCCTTCTCCCTTGAAAAACAGAGATGGCCCCCAACACAGCTACCGCCGCCAGCGCCTCGCCGGCGAAGAAGTCTGGGTCTGCACCCGAGAAGAAATACAAGTGCCAATTCTGCAATCGCGCCTTCAGCAGAAGTGAGCATCGCAGCAGACATGAACGCTCGCGTGAGTTTTTTCTTCTTCTTCTTTCCCTTCATCAACAGATGGTGGATCTCAATCTGACCTCTTTTTTTTTTTTTTTTCAGATACAAAAGAAAGACCCTTCAAATGCTTGAAATGTCGGAGTACCTTTGTTCGCCGAGACCTTCTTCTGCGTCATGATCGCACCGTACACGCCAAGGATGGTGGGATCCCTCTTGTGGCCGAGGGCCGCCGCCGCGGGGGTGGTGTCCAGAAGACCTCGCCCGTCTCACAACCGCCCAAGCCCTCAATCACCATTGACCCCGCTACTCTGGAACAGATCGAGGCCAGCAGTGACGGCATGGTTGACCTCGAGACCGCCGCCATGCTCATGACCGACTTTCAACACAAGGCTGCCGCAGCCGCCACCGGTCAGGTCCCCCCGGATCGCGCGGGCTCCGACCGCTCCTTCTCGCCCTCTCGCGGTTCCCTGCTCGAGCCCCCGGTCGCGTATCTGTCTGGCAACGCTACTCTTCCCCAGATGCCCTGGGATACCCTGGTCTCGTCGGCCGACGCGAAGCATCACCCCGGCTTCGGCACCCAGGACGGTCTCCCGCCGCATTCCCTGCCCACCATGATGGACCGCCACAGCGCCGTCGGTGATTCCCTGGCTCCCTCGCTTCATTCCCTGGTCCACTCGCTCCCCGTCTCCGGGGGTTCGACGCCCAATGCCTTGTCCCCATTCCCCTCGATGACCGGGCCTGTGAGCCCCGTCAACTACCGCCGCTCGCCCGGTCCCAGCCAGGCACTGACGCTGCCCAAGGCCCCCCAAGTCGCCAACGATATGGAGCGTGGAATCATCGTCGACCGGGTCAAGACCGCCGATGCCCTTGGCTCACTGCCCGAGACCTTCCAGTTGCCCTCCACCATCGCCCTGAACCGGTACCTGTCGACCTACTTCAACCTGTACCACCATCACCTGCCCTTCCTGCACCAGGAGTCCTTCAAGCCCACCACCGCCTCGCCGCCCTTGCTGCTCGCGGTCCTGTCCATTGGTGCCCTCTACACCTTTGAGCGCGAGCATGCCTTTATGCTGCACGTCGGCTCCAAGGTCCTCGTCAACCAGTTCCTGCAGCACAAGGAGAACTTTGACTCCCGGAAATGTCCCCTCTGGGCCATGCAGAGCACCCTGCTCAACATGATCTTTGAGAGCTGGAGCGGTGACCCTAAGGGCCTCGAGTGGACCTGCTCCATCAAGAGTCTGCTCGCTAACATGGTGGCCGGCAACCGGTACCAGCTGAAGCTCCGCACCGAGGCGCGCCAGCCGGCCCTGCCCTCCCGCGAAGAGTGGATCGAGGATGAGTCCTGCCGTCGGACCTACTACGCGGTCTACATCTTCTTTGGCATGCTCACCCTGACCTTCAACCACACGCCCGCCATGAGCTTCGACGAACTGGATAACCTGGAGCTCCCCTCTTCGGAGTCGTTGTGGAATCTGGAGGTCTCGGATGAGGAGACCTGGCGTCGCAACCTGGCCGCCTCGTCCGTCCTCACCGTCCGTGAGGCCCACGACAGCCTTTTCCAGGGCGAGCAGACGAGGTACAGCGCTTTTGCCACGCGCGTCATGATCAACGCCCTCTTCCTGCAGGTGTGGAACCACAAGCGCACGTTCGAGGCTCTCCAGGACGTCCTCACCGAGTACAAGCTCCGTCTCGCTCTGGAGACCTGGGAGACTTCGCTCGAGGTCTGCGAACCCGAGACGATCGTCGTTCCGCTGAGCACCCCCCAGAAGGGCCACCCGCTCATCTTCAACTCGATGGCTGTCTACCGCAACACCCGCGCCCGCCTTGAAGTCGACCTCAAGTCAATCCAGGAGGCCCTGCGCTACCACTCGTCGTACGAAGTGGCCGCTGCCATGACGGTCGCCCGCGAGAAGGTCAAGCGTTCCCAGGAGATGAACAAGATCGTCCAGCAATGCTTCGAATGCATCGAAATCGCCGCCATCCAGGGTATCAACTGGGTGGCTAAGACCTCCGCCACCAACTGGAGCGTGGAGCATCCGCTCTGCGGTCTGGATCTGATGGTCATTCTCAGCCTGTGGCTCTATCGCCTGGAACATGACGAAGAGCCCGCTACCGAGGCTGAACTGGCCATCTATAACAAGGTCCGGAATCTATTTGATGACGATGCCATCGACGCCTTTGGCAAACTCAGCTCCACCGTCGCCCGTGTATGGGGTAATATCCTAGACGGAGTCGTGGTCTGGGGGTGAGTTTTTTTTTTTTTTTTTTTCCCTTTCGCGTATTCGAAACATATACTAACATATCACAGGATTACCAAGCTGATGGGCGAGTCTTTCAAACTGCATTCTCAGGCCCTAGTCGGTTACGAAGATTCCCTCCGCGTTGCCAAAGATCAACCTATCCACCCGATGCCGACCAAGGCACTTGCCAGTGTAGGCACTGCCTATTAAACGACTTCATCGACCGCGATGTTCGGGTTTTAACCCTCCATAAAAAGAACCTCAAAAAAAAACACCGAAAAAAAAGGAAACCCATAATCCCTTCATTTGGTGAACACCACGCCTTGTCCTTGATGTTTTGATTTGATTTTTTTTTTTTCCCTTTTGCAGTACTGCTTGACTTGATTTTTGTTTTCCTGCTTTCGTTCCTTTGGGCAATTGGCGGGCTTTCGGATATTATACAGGGTTGGGAACGGATTATAGCAAGACGGCGGGCGGCAATGGTCTTTCTGGTTATGAGATGATATGATCTACCTTTCTCTCCATGACATCTGTCGCCGAATGTTGCCTCTTGCTGGTGATCTCCCGACTGTTTGTTTGTTTTTTTTTTTTTTTTTTTTTTTTTTTTTTTTTTTTTTGGTTTTTCGCAAGAGCTCACAGGAGTCCGGTGTGGTCATGTTCTTCATTTTTGATGGGCTGTTTCCCCAAGGCAAACATCTCGACACCCGGCTGGTCCTGTGTGTTCTTCCCTTCAAGCACTGAGTGGAGTTATTCTGATTATTATTTTTTTTCTTTTCTTTTTCTGTGTTGATTTTGCCGTCGTTTTTTTTTTTTTTTTTTTTTTTTCTATTGATCCCTAATTCTTAGTGCTTATTTTTTCCTTGGTTCTTTTCATTTCATTGCGCATCAGCGTGTCTGTGGTCAGTTTTTACTTGTTGATTGATTTCTTGACCTCCTGATACCTTGTCCGCTATATATTTGTTTTTTATCTCCTTCTATTTGATTGATCCCTCTTCCTTTCTCTCTTGAAGCTCTCGCTGCTTCCTTCTAGCTCTTCTCCATTTAATAATCTGTATCCACTCTAGATTCTTGTCTGTTGACCTGTTATGCCTGCGATGTTTTTTTCCCCGCGTCATCTCCTCTCAAAAATGGTTATCGTTTTGCTTGTCCTTGGTTTCTGCTGATGTCTGTTTTTGGTTATGTTTTTGTCTTGTTTATGCTGTGTTGATGTTGATGTTGATGTTTATGTCTTATGCTATGTAGTACCCTGTACTATACAAATCATTGCGGGGAACCATTACGTAGATATACTACTCCGTAGAACCAACCAATGTAGAGAGAGCACTTGAGACGTAGGGTAGATTTGTGAGAAAAGACTATGACTTCCCAATTGCAATAAAGAGACGATCCCCAATGTCGCCCAAACCGGGGACAATCATGCCGCGCTCATCACAGCGACCATCGACGGCGCCAACCCACAGCTCGACCCCCTCTGGCCAGGCGTTCGCGGCACGGGCGATACCCGCCTCGGAAGCCAGCACACTCAGCATGACGATGCGCTGGACGCCCCAGTCGCGGAGGAGACGGATGGCGGCCTCAGCGGTGGCGCCCGTGGCGATGACGGGGTCGACGAGGATGGCCAGCGTCGCGGCGGCTTTGTTTTCCGGCTGGGTTGTTGTCGGCGGGTTGGGGAAAGCCGTTGAATGGTCTGTGTGGAAGGGGAGGTTGTTGTAGTATTCTACCGGTTGGAGGGAGACGCGTTCCCGGAAGAGACCGAGATGGTAGATTGGTACGGGGGTGGGGAGGAGATCATTCACAGCTGACGAAGAGAAAGGATTAGAACGGACGACCTCATTTGAAGTCCTAGGTAAATGCTTGCTCACCTTCTACCATTCCCAGTCCCGAACGAAGAATAGGAACAATGGCAAGGTTCGATGGAGTGATGGAGACGGTATCGTACTCGATTCCCAGGGGTGTTTGATCCTAGTGCTTTTTCAATATATGTTCTGTTCGTTTCCTTGGAAATATACAGCTAAAAGCTTACTCTGCCAGATACTTTTGGCTGCAAAGCAGTGGCGAACGCTTCCACGCCGAGAATCGTGGTGATCTCGCTGACGAGACCTTTGGTCTCGCGCAGGGTTGCGGTGTGGGAGCGGAGCTGGGACAGTTTGGCCTGTAGACAGGGGTGCGAGGAGATGTGGACGTTTGCCATTTCGGCTCGGCTTCAGTATTGAGATATGTAGATGTAGAGTTGTATTGTGTTGTAACTATGTAGTAGTGGTTGTTGAGTTGTGTTGTAGTTGAGTGAGTGAGTATAGGAGGGGCTTATCTGAACTGGCATACACGTCACATGAACCAGTACTGTCCAGTCACTCCAGTCACTCCAGTGTCTACCTTGTCGGAGTAGAATAAGCCACTCATAACTCAGATAACAGGTATTATGCTAGTTATTACGGTTTCTCATACCTACGTACGGAATACCTACCATCTAGTATTGTTTACTACCAGGTTCTTATCAGTGAGGAGACTTGCTATCAGTGCCTAGCCAAGACAACTCCTGCCGTCTCCCGAGTACGAAAATCAAATCTCCATAAACAGTGAACGGTGACTCTGTTTACTTGGCGTGGAGTGTTTACGAGTCGAGGAGTTTGATTCCAGGAACTGGCAGTCATGGCGGACACTGCGAGTGACGCGGGCGACGCGTCAGACAAGGTAGTAGATTTAATTCCAAGTTGTGACAAGTGAATAATAGTGTCAGAAGACTGACAAATGCAGCAGCAGGAAGGCGACGGATCTCTCGAGAAAGACGAAACCGAAGGCGTGCTCTCCGAATCCAGGGCGCCGCCCCCCGTCTCGCGGATAGTATCGCAACGACAACAATGGGCAGCAAACGTCGACGGCGAGATTCCTGTGACGGCGGAGAGTGCGCCGCCGACTGCGCCGCCAGAGGCTGCCCCGTTGTCGAAGCTGGCCACCCGCTTCTACATCCTCTCCTACCTGGTTTTCTTTGCGATCTTCGGCACGCTGGCGCGTCTAGGGTTGCAGGCGCTGACGTTCTACCCGGGAGCACCGATCGTCACGGGCGTGATCTGGGCCAACCTGACGGGGTGTATTGCGATGGGCTTGTTTTTGGAGGATAAGAACCTTTTTCGGGAAGAATGGGGGGACGGGTGCAGCACGTCTCGCGTGGGGGGTAGCAGTCCCGAGGAAAAGGCCGAGCAGGCCAAGAAGCACAAGGCCGTCAAGAAGACGATCCCGCTGTACATTGGGCTGACGACGGGGTTTTGCGGCTGCTTCACTTCCTTCTCCTCCTTTATCCGCGACGTGTTTCTCGCCCTGTCGAACGCCCTGCCGGATCCTTCGGTCAGCACGATCGCGTCGCGCACCGGCGGCTACAGCTTCATGGCGCTGGTGGCCGTCGCGGTGCTGACCGTCTCGCTGAGTCTGGCGGGACTCATCTTCGGCGCCCATCTGGCCATCGCTCTCGACCCCGTCATGCCGACGTTTCCCTTCCGCTTCGTCCGGCGGTACGTCGACCCGCTCTTTGTTGTCTTGGGATGGGGATGCTGGCTCGGCGCTGTGTTTCTGGCCATCTGGCCTCCGGATCGACACGATCACCCGGAAGTCTGGCGCGGGAGTGCCGTCTTCGCCATTGTCTTCGCCCCGCTCGGCTGTCTGCTGCGTTTCTACGTCTCCCTGTGGCTAAATGCCCGCATCCCGAGTTTCCCCCTTGGCACCTTTGCCGTCAACATCTTTGGGACCATCATCGAGGCCATGTGCTACGATCTGCAGCGCGTGGATGGAATTGGTGCCACCGCCACCCTTGCGGGCGTCTCGTTGGCCTCGGGCTCCCTCATTACAAGCTGCCAGCTTCTGCAGGGCGTCATGGACGGGTTTTGCGGCTCGACGACCACCGTCAGCACCTGGGTTGCTGAACTCAACGGGCTGAGTCGGCGACTTCACGCATACGTCTACGGCATCACCAGTGTGGCCGTTGCACTGGGGTTTATGGTCGTCATCGTCGGTTCTTTGAAGTGGACGATCGGCTTTGATAATGTAGTTTGTACATAGTTACATTTCTATACAGTATAAACACTACTTACACTAATACTGATATCATTCTAATCATACTATCATATACTAATACCCCCGATCTCGTTCCGAGTCCTCCCAGGATATCCCTCCCGACGGAGGCCCCGGGCGTGTAATTCCTTGCGGCGCGCGAGTTCTTTCTCCGCGTTGCGATGCTGTGCAACTAGAACCAAGTCACTAGAGCGTACGTCATGTTAATTCTTTTGAAAGAAATACTTCGCCAGAAATACGCGTAGACGGCTACCACGGCAAGACAGGCGGCGATGAAGGCGAACATGATCCCAAGCTCGTGGGAGAGAGATTTGATGGGGGTGTAGGGGGGGAGATTCTGGACCATTTTGTTTGATGAAGATGAATAGATGGTTATAAGGTAGAAGTTGATGAATAGATAAGAGGTGGTTGAGCACAGAATGCGGGGAGTGATGTCAGGCTCCACTAGTGGCAGTGAATAGCATCAGGTACTTGGGTCACCATGTAATACTGTAGTTATATGATTCGACAATTAGCACCAAGAAAGACAGTATACAGAATACAGACTATAAAAGATGGCATTCAGCTCGTCAGTGAAAGAATACTAGAGCTTTGCGGTTCCGGCCCGGGATCGGGCCTGTGCCGGTTCAGGGCTGATGAGCGGAACCGGCATGCGCAGTCCAGCATATAAAAGTAGATTGGCTAGGAGGTACGAGGTGTTTATTTTCTTCAGACAATTGTCAAGATGGCAGCCGACTGTATTGCAGATGCTGACGTTATCGAACAAGAGAAAGGATCCGACCTTGAAGCCGGCCAGGATCTGACAAAATCCACCACGACAAAGAGCGAAAAGCCATACACGACCTTCTCCGAGCATGAGAAATGGTTGATTGTGGGCATGGCGAGCGCCGCGGCGTTCTTTTCCCCCCTCTCCGGACAGATCTACTTCCCTGTACTTCCTGTGCTCACGGCAGACTACCATCTGACCTCGACTCTGCTCAACATCTCCGTGACGACGTACATGATCTTCCAGGGTCTTGCGCCGAGCTTCATGGGCACTTTCTCCGATGCCAGCGGGCGCCGGCCGGCATATATCCTTGCGTTTATAATCTACACGGCCGCCAACATTGGTCTCGCGCTGCAGGACAGCTACGCTGTCTTGCTTGTGCTCCGGTGCGTTCAAAGCGCCGGCAGCAGCGGCACGGTCTCGTTTGGGTACGGCGTTGTAGCCGATGTGGTCACCACGGCCGAACGAGGCAAATATATGGGCCCTATGGCTGCGGGGGCTATGATGGGCCCGGCCTTAGGCCCAGTGATCGGTGGTCTCCTGGCGCAGTATCTCGGATGGCGAGCTGTGTTTTGGTTTCTCGTCATCGTCTCCGGATCGTACCTTGTCGTCTTCATTGTCATCCAGCCTGAGACGCACCGGTCGATCGTCGACGACGGGAGTGTCACGCCCTCTCAGGGCTGGCGATTGTCCGTCGTGCAATTCATTGCGGCGAGACGGCGTCTGGCTCGAATGACGGCCGAGGAGAGACAGGAATATCAACAGATCCGGGCGGAGCTCAAGACCCAGCAGCAGAAGGAAGGTCGAAAGCTAGGCTTCCCTAACCCGCTTGATTCCTTCCGGATCCTCCTGCAGAAAGATGCTTTCATGCTCATCACCTTTTCCGGCCTCATGATGTTTGGCAATCTCGTCCTCATGACCGCCACCCCGACTCTATACCCGGGGATCTATGGGCTGGATGAACTACAAGTCAGCCTATGTTTTTTGTAAGAATCTCCATACAGACTCCATACAGACTCCATAAAAACTCCATAAGCAAGTGTTAACTAATTGTCAGACCCCTAGGGCTCTCTTCCATGATTGGCGCCGTCGTGAACGGCAAATTTCTAGACTGGAGCTATAAACGCCTCGCGAAGAAACACGGGATGATCATCGATCGCCAACACCGGCAAGACCTAACACATTTCCCTATCGAAACCGCCCGGCTGCAAATGGTCTTCCTCTGGGCCTCGGTCCAGTCCATCCTCCTTCTCCCCTACGGCTGGGCCTTACAGTACCATGCTAACCTGGCCGTTCCGCTCGTCATCCAATTCATAGTCGGCTTCTGTCTGGTTTGCACCTCCAACAGTCTCGGCACGTTGCTCGCGGATATCTTTCCCGGTCAGGTGGCCACCGCGTCGGCGGCCCAGAATCTTCTCCGATGCTTGCTTGGCGCTGTGGGTGCGGCGGTCGTGGATCCCATGCTGACGGGGATGGGGGTCGGGTGGTGTTTTACCTTTACGGGCTTGGTCCTGCTTGTTTCGCTGTTACTGCTCTGGGCTGAGATGAGATGGGGGATGGCTTGGAGACAGGAGAGATGGAGGCAGGAGGGAGAAAGGGAATCACAAGGGAAAAAGTAATAACTAGAACTCGAAATCTTACTTATATACTGTTTAGGTTTAGTATAACTAATGTCAAGACTATTCAATAACTGCCTTCTGGAGGCAAGTAATTCAACAAGGTGATTATCACTCTATGTACAGTCAAGTCTCAATGAGACGATTGACACTCTATCTAGCCAATATCAAAGGCGCCAAGTCTGTAAGTGACAAACCTCCATAATACATCAGTGGAGTTGCTGAGAACGCCATATGCGCAGGGGGCACCGGGGAGAGCGGTGCAAAAGATGTAAATAAAAAGGTGAAGAAGAAGGCAGAATATACAAGGTATCATGTACACATAACAACGACTGCTCTGGAAACAAGAGTCTATGCCGTCCGTTAGAAAAAAAGAGAAGAAGAAGAAATTATAAGAAAAAAAAACCCCCGCCAGAATTGAAAACGGGGGCTCGCGGCGGATCAATGATCTTGACACGCGAGATGAGAATGGAGGGGGAAAAAAAGAAGTCGAAGCCGAATATTAACGGTGAGATCGTGAGGGAGATATAAAACAGAAGACAATATGCTCGAGGAGCCTGCTGCGCCGGGCAGAAGATCCATATGCGAATATTCGGTAGCGTTCGTCGTTGGGGTGAAAGTCGTATGGCTTGGGACTACCCCAGCATCACTGCAGCGAGGGCAGTGAAGGTCAGGCCGATAGCCATCCCCACCCACGGCGTTTGGCCTAGGGTACCCTCGCTGACGGTCACGGTCTCGGTTGCCCCGACCGTCCCCGTCAGAGATCCTAGGCCAATGCTCCCTGTTGAAGGTGAGGCCCACTGGTCGGGGATGGTGGTTGTTGATGAAGTGGTCGCAGCAACAGCCGCGGCAGCATCATCGCCGGCCACCTGACGAATCTCAATGATGTTCTCTCGTGTGTTATCTCCCGCGCCCTGGATATCTAGCAGGGAGGCAAAGGGCGTGATGGTGGGCACATGGGCAGCGAGATCGACAGGAGCGGGAGCCGGCGTGGCATCTGCTGCCTGAACAGCAGCGGGCAGTGCGACAAGTAAAATATTTGTGGCCCTCATTGTGGCAAGAGGCAGATCGATCGATCGAGGAATGTGACGAGGTTTCGACGGGACAGCGATCTCCCCTGAGGAAGCGAGCAATATTCTCCGTGAATTTTTTTTCGAGAAGGAGAAAAACGGCAAAAAATCGCAATACTCCGTGTTTCCAAAAATTGACGCGCGGATGTTTTGTGTTGTACAAAAGACGTGGTGGTGGACGCCCGGGGGGAAGGGGGGGGGGGAAGGCTCTGGTCGTTTTAAGGGGCTGGAAACTCTCCCTCCAAGCAAGCAAGCACGAGCGAAAACGGATGGCCGGGGCGGAACAGATTTCGGTGCGTACCGCGTCGTCGTCAATGGATACACAAGATCGCAGAGTGGAAGGGTGATCTAGGGTGGCAGGTAAGGAGTTTGCAGACAACCAAGACAGGACCGAGGGGGGGAGCAGAAGAAACAGGGAAGTGGGAGAGCAACCCCGAGGAGATTTCCTTGGACGGGCAGGCTCAGGAACAGGGCGAGCATCAGTGGCCAGACCCAGCCCGCAAGCACCACATTAGGCAGTCGATCCACTGGCGAGTCGTGTCATTGCGCCGGTTTCATTGGCTGAAGCAGAAGCTTATCCGTGCAGTGGCCGGCCTGGATTGGCTGGCTGGGCGTGTTGATCTGCCCGAGTGGAGCAGGTGAAACAGCAGTGGCCAACCACAGCCCAACGTGGCCGTGTCATTTAATTAGGTTGGAGGTTCTCATGCGAGCGTTTTCTTATTCAGTATAGCGGTGATGACCTCATAGGTACTACCTTACCATACCTAGGTAAGTTAGTAGGTACTACCGTAGTAGATAGCTTTGATCTACCGATCCTGCTTATTGTTGACCAACGTGGACAGGAAGCAATAATCTTTTGAGATGTCTTTCAAGATGGGTATCGGTCAGCCTCCCTCGGATGCACCTCAATACAGCCAGATACCAAGTCCACCTCGTCTTTTTTCGGTTGGTAATCTTCTTCCCACTGTTGTCTATTATCAGTACTAAGTAATCAGCTGCTAGATTGTTGAACACGATGACTTCCTCCAACTTAGCAAAGACCAACTAGAACACGCCTTAGGAAAGAGTCGGGAGTACTGGTATTATCTCGCATCAGTAGCGAATGGTCAACGAGGTCGCCCCTTAGCTCCAGATAAAACGAACCCGCATCATACCCTCTACAGGGTTCCGGAGTTGCAAGGTCGTCCAAAGACACTTCAAGCTTGTCCACTTGGAGCTTCTCCGACTCAAGCACTTTGTTTACTAGCCTCTATAACTTGGAGACTAGCCGGCGAATCGGACTGCGACAGAGTCGAGAAAGAAAGTACATATCCAACAATACTGCAGATTGGCACTGGCGCTGCAACCCCCTATAATTTTCAAGGGGACGGGTTCCTGGATTGGGTTGGCACGACAGAGGAGGAAGCCACACAGCCAAACTACTTAGGAATCCTCACAATCGGCTGGTGTTACATACTCAGTGCGCAGCTTATCGAGATTTAACAAGAGGGGGCTTTCATGCGGTATACGGATTCAGAGGCCGAGCGATCCTACCAGGATATCTGCCCTTTTCCGACAACAAGTACTGTCATTGATATCGGGGAAGCTGACGAGGGCGTGGCTCGCTGGTGGTCAGCTATCCTCGCTCAACATGAAGGGTGGCAAACCATTGCTAGGCAGGGCTCTGATGGTGAATACCTAGCACCCTGGGCAATATCGCGCACCTGTGATGCAACTTTTGCCGTCATCTGATCCTGTCGTCCTCTCCACGCCCCTATCATCAGATAGAGCTTTTGATGCTCTCGCTCGATTTTCGCTTTTTCATGGATTAGGGAGTCAGCTCCCTGTTGCTCTTGCAACAGCTATGACGATCCCAACGCATAATTACCACGGCTCAACCGCCAAATTCCCATTTCCCACTCCATTCAATACCTCGAAATCAACTGTACAGCCCGACGATGCTCCTCTAACATGGAAAAGCTTAAAGGAAGAGCTTCCCTACTATATGACTCTGAGTTGTGGCCAGGAAACAATCATTTCATGGGTCATTTTGGGAACTTGGAGTCCCTTGCAACCTTGTCAGTCCTTGGCTGCATCCAGTGCTTCATGAGATTTTCCAAGGACCATCTACCGGATATATCAAACTGCCAATTAAAAGAGTAGTCTTGAAGTAGGTAACTACCTAGAGAATAACTGGTGTCTTAGCTAATCACTCGATTATGGGTGACCAAGTCAATATCGCGCGATGCTCACTAAAATAAGGTAAGTGTCCAGGGGCTCATAGATATTTAATCGGTAGGTATTAATCATAATGCTGAATCTGCTATATATGAATGACCTGCATCAGTGAATAAGATGATCTGATGTTTCTTGAGATATATTCTTGAAAGGTGGATAGCATTTATAACTTATCATGGAGTACAATCCTTCCAGTGGTGAGCCACGCACTCTAAAAAGATATAGCAATGGTCAGAGTATAATGGCCAATAAATAGTCTAATTTTGACTATAAAATAAAATCTAGAGTACAGAGTAGGGTTTGATGATCGCTCGGCTCAGATTGATAGATTGATAAGATGTCATCTCTGTCCAATCAGGGTGTAGTGAGGGTATACTGAGGTCACTTAAGAGGTACAGAGTACTAGTTACAGATTATGCGAATGATATGAATATTTGAATCCGAATAGATTAGAGTATCTCTTCCCAGTTCGGCATGACGGTGAACTTGCCGCTAAGCTGACCCATCGCCCACACCCGTTTCTCATCCGGCATGACCTCGCCCGTTGTCAGGTCGTGAGAGGGCGCAGAGACAATCAGCGCCTCCTGCAGGAAGCCCACGGCGGTGGCGCGGTCGAGCTCGAAGCTGATCCCTCCCCAGTCCATCGTCACTCGCCCCGAGGCATGCACGTTGAGTTTGCCCACGCGACCCGCGTGGAGCTGTCGGTTGGTCGCCGTGACGATCTTGGAGGATTCATGAGGCGGTGCGCCGACCGATTCGCCCGTGACTTCGAGGGCGTCGTCGTCTCCGTCCTGCTGTTCGCGCTTGACGCCGCCCAGGGGTCCCGGTTGAGTGCTGCGCGGCTCTGCTTCTCTGTCGCCGGGCTGTTCGTTGGTGCTTCCAGAGACCACCAGGTTAGGCGTCATGGGCGGGAACTGCATCAGGAACAGTTGGCCTGCGAGCTTCTCGTTTGTAGGCTCTTCCTCTGTCTCCTCCTCCTCCTTCTCCTCCTCCTCCTTCTCCCCTGTCTTATCTTCCCCCTTGTCGCCTTCCCCGCCTGCTTCTACCGGCGACTTGGACTTTTCTGTTGTCACCGTCGCCGGCGCCGGCTCCTTGGGTTCGAAATAAAGTAGGTCCTTGACCGCATCGAGATCCTCCAGATGTCGATCGTATTCTTCGAGTTCCTCCTTTGTACGTAATAAATCGCGGGGGTCCTTCTTTTTCTTCGTCGGTGCTGCTGCTATCGTCACCGTCGCCGGCGCCGGTGCTGGGGCCTCCTTCGCCTGCAGTTTCCGGCGGACCTTGACTGTCTGCTCGGGCAGGAACCCATCGTCGGTGATGATGGTATCGTCTGCGTGGGGGATATCATCTGTCATGACTTCATCTCCGTCTGCCGGTTCTTGTTTGACATGCGTATCGTCCGGGGCATCTTGCTCGACGAAGAGCGTGTTGTCGTCTTCGGCAGTCAGGTCTTCGGGGTCCGCTTCTTCCTCTGCCGTTTCTTCGGCCGGCTTACTCGTCGTGCTCGACTCCATGTTGACGCTGACCACCCGCTCCTCATGTTCGTAGCGTTCGACCCGGATCGGACGCAGGGCCCTAACGCCGCCGTACGAATTGCGTGCCGCCATCTTACCCTTCTTGCTATCGCCATAGTCGTCTTCGCTATCGCTCTCCAGATTGATCTCGTCAATGCTGATCCGAAGCCCCTCCCGGTCTTCGTCAGACGAGTAGTCCTCTCCGCCCCGACCGCCCGCACCCCCAGCATCGATGATCGACCGGCTCCGCCGCGACATCGACGACGCCCGCGACGAGTCCACGCTGAAAATCCCGCCGCGGCCGCGTCGCGCGCCTCCCCGCCCTCCCTGTCCGCCACGTCCATGGGCCCCGCGGCCGCCGTCGCCGCGCCCCCTGCGTATCGCAGCCACCTCGGCCAGTCGCTCGCGGTTCCGCTCCGCCTCCAGCTTCTCCAGCGCTTCTCGCTCTTCCTTGCTGCGTCGCATCACGGCTTTCGGCTGGTACTTGAGCGTCGGTTTCGTCGTGCTGCCGTCTCCTGCCGGTCCTCCTCCAAGGGCAGACGGCTGTTTCTTCGTCGCGGGTGCGATGCTGCCTGCCGGTGTGCGCTTTTTCAGCGATTGCAGCCGCTGGACGGGCGGGCGCGTCGACGCAGGGCGCGATCCGCCCTCACTGGGCGTCACGGACTCATTCTGTCCAACCGGGTCAACCGCACCGCTTGTGCTGGACGCCGCGGTGCCTGCTTCGGGTTCGGGCGCTGGCTGTCGCCGCGTGGCTGTTCGTCGGGGGGCAGCTTTCGGGGGCATCGTTCGATCAGTGCATTTACTGTAGCCGGGTAGAATAGATGTACCGAATCAAAAGAGCAGGATAATGAATGAGGGAGCGAGGTTTCGTCAAGTTGTGCGACTGGATCGATAGAAAAGTTGCCCTCAAAAAGTTATCTCTGAAGCGCTTTCTTTTATCGGATTTCTGCGTGGGGCTGCCATCACGTGACGATTTTATTTTATACTACAATTTGGAAGGTCAAGGCCTTTAACCCAGTATATTTGCTTCTTATTTTCCTCGGAATAGACGACTAGACATAGTATATCATCCGTAGGAAATCCTCTGCAGTCACAGCCCAGCGGTCGGTGGCATCAATGACTACCTAGAAGACAACCTCATATATGACTTTGAGCAAGACACGCGCAGTCGACGAGTGGAAGGACAGAATTCAAGCAAATGCGTCTGATCGAACGCCGAGGGAAAAGTAGACACAGAGACACAGACAAACTTCACAGAGAGAAAACAAAAAACAGAAAGAGAAATAGAGAGAAGAACAGCAAATACATAGTTTCAAACCCCGCTGATTTCAATCGCTAGACTATCCATAGTTGAGCAACAAGTAAAGGAAAGGAATTAGGACGGATCGGTATTACACCAGATCGATCGCAATGGATATGACAATGCAAATGAGAAAGGAGCGCCGTGTCTTTGGTGGAGAGACAGAAACCGTGGCCAGCCAGATGAGAGAGAGAGAGAAAGAGAGAGAGAGAAACAAGGAGAAAACCACCACACCACACAGCCACCTCTTTCTCGCCTTGCAAGGTAGGTAAGTACGAGTATGATAATATATCAGCGCTCATAGTATTGACTGCAGAAAATAAAGACGTTTAAAACAGGTTCTGCGGGAAAAGGAGACGAAAAGAAAAGAAAAGAAAAACACAGAATTGGCTGAGATGTACGATAGAAGATCAAGAGAGGGAGGGAGATATATTCAGTAGGAAGGGAAAGAGAAGAGGGGGGGGGGACATGAGACAGTGTCTATAGCGAAGAGGGTTTCGTAGACATATTGGAAGCAAGACCGGTGCCTCCTGTTTGTTTGACCGATAAGAGAAAAAAAAGGGGGGGGGGAAAGCTAGCGCTTGCGCTTCTTGTTCTTGTCCATTGCTGTCGCAGAAGAGACGGCCGGTGCCTCAGCAATAGCATTGACCACGGGAGATACGTCCTCGTGGACGGCGGAAGGCTCCGAGGTCTTCTTAACGGGCACGCCCATATGACGGCCATACCGGCCCTTGCGGCCGTTACCCTCGTCCTCACTGATACAGCCCTCGAGGCCGATCCCTGCATCTCGACACCGACCGCAGGGTCGTTGGCGGTCGCAGCCCTTCTTGCTCTTGCGGCATCGCTGGCAGCGTGGTTTGGTCGACAGATCCTCTTCGTCCGCGGCGAGCTGGTGATGGAAGTTGACTGAGGAGCCAGATGCCTTCCGAGCGGTACCACCAGTAGCAGTAGTAGCAGTAGTAGTAGTAGTAGCAGCAGCAGGAGTAGCAGTAGGGACACCTGTAGTGATGGGAGATATCGCCGCTGCTTTCTGGGCTCCAGGCGCCTGGGTGGCGGCCTTCATCTTGCGAGCAGTGGGTGCGGACAAGCCCTTTCCAGGCTTGTTGTTGGTTCGAGTGGGAGCTGCGTTTGGACCACGAGCCTTGGTCGCAGCGGCGCCGGCGCCGGAGGTGGGCTTGGCCTTGATTTTCTTGGCTTTGGGGGCGGAGTCAGCGTACAGGGCGTCCGCGTCGAATTCGGTTTTGAGAGGAAGGTGGTTGTGATGATGATGATGATGATGATTATGATGGTGGTGGTGATGGTGATCTTTGAGCTCGTCATTATGGCGGTAGTCCTCCTCCACATCATCGCAACTGACGTCGGTGCTGTCGAAGCTGGGGAGAATCTCATCGAGTCGCTTGTGGTGACGCTTGATGGTTCCCGGCGGCAGCATTGGGCTGGATTCAAGTCTGTGTCGTGACCCAGCAGGGAGGTCATTGTCATCCTCCTCTTCGCTGAACTCGTCACCGTCACTGGTGGCACCGGTGGAGGAAGCGGCGTCGGCAGCACCGCTAAAGGCGTCGTCCAATGTAGAGGCTGACGTGCGGCCATGGGAGAAATTGGAGGCGTCTCCCAGGCGGATCAACTGCATTGCAACATCCTCATCCGAGATACAGCTGGCAATAGTTGGGTCAGGGGTCGGCAGCACACCTGGCGCACCGGCGCGACTTGCGGAATAGCCATACTGCCCGGAAGCCTGGGGCCCGGTGCGATCACGCAAGCGATGACCATGCTCGGGCACCACAGGGGTGGCGTAGATGGAACTCCGGGCCGAGTGTGACCCATACGCCTGCTCATTGTAGCCAAAGCTTTGTGGCGAAGGCAGCGGTTGCTGATAAGTATATTGGCGGTGTGTCGGGCGCGCAAACGGCGACCCAGCTCCTTCCTGGCCGACGGATCGACGCTGCGGCGAGATAGACGATGTAGAGGTTGTGAGAGGGACTTGGGGAGGTACGAACAGGGGTAATTCCTAAAAGAAGAAGAAGAAAAGAAACGATGGTTAGGGAGAGGGAGAAAGAAAGAAAAAAGGCATATCAGACCGGTCCGAGAGAGACTACTTACCGAGCTTTCAAACTTGGGCCGCTTGCGACGACCGTCTTGGAGGATATTATCCATGCTGATGTCCGAGCTGGCGAAATGCTCGCTACGAGATTTCTTCGCGCCCGAAAGGGAGCCGTAGCCGCCTTCGCTATCACTGTAGCCCAGGTCCGTTTCGTCGTGAAAGCTGCCATGAGCACTCGACCCCCGGCTCTTGATGCCGCCGCGGGTCGGCTGCTTGTGTTGTGAGGCACTGCGGCGGCTGCGTGCTGACGGCGAGGTGCTCCGCTTGCGAGCGATCCTCGATGTTGGTCGAGAGGGCGGGCGGCCTTGCTCGGGCTGGCCGACAGAACCCATCTGGAACGGCTCGCCGAGACTGGGACGCTTGCGGGCCTCGTAGGGCAGCGAGCCATAGTAGTGGTCGGGGAAGCCGTCAGTAGCATAGGCCTGAACGGGGATGACCCGCACATAGACCGTCATGTTATTCCGCAGGTTCTCGTACCGCGCGATGAGGGTGATACCATTTTCATCCTCGAAGCTCACGCCGCTGGCGGCGCCTTCGTAGATACCGTAGAAGTTCTTGACCGTCGTCACGATGGAATCCGTGGTATCGTGCGGGTAGATCTGCACCCGCATCGGGATCCGGGCCCGGACCTTGGAGTTTTCATCGAGCAGGAGCTCAAAGGCGACGTTCTTGGGCACCGGCTGGGTCGGGGAGAGGTCCTGCTGTTGGGAGGAAGCACCGCCGCGAGTAGCCATATACAGCGCTGACGGTTCTTCTAACGGTGACTGCATCGTTCTCGGCGGGGGAGGATGTTCAATAGGTCTATCGACCGGCGAGACGTCTTCTTTCTTTTTAAAAAAAATATATATGAATATCAATTTCTGACCGCTTCGGGAGTGGACGGCCCGCTAGATCAAAGAGGGATTTCCACATCCGACATACCACGAAGATAAATTCCAAGGGCAAGGATAGACCAGCGGTCCTCCCGCGATTATACTCCAAGGGTAGTCGATGGATTCGGTGTGGTGTGGTGCGTACAATGAGAGGGGGAGTGGGAGGGATCCGACGTCGCAAAAGAACCGGAAGCGACACCAGCAGGGAAAACGTGGAAAATCTGCTGAAGGCCAAGGCAGCACCGGTCAGCAAAGCAGATCTCCAGTAAGGTATCTAGCAAAAACGGTAATCGATGAAGATGGTCTGGGAGTGACGATCTGGGATGCGAAGTCCCTCGCTGACCAATTTCTGACGGGGGAGGGGGGAGGGCTCTCTCAGTGGCACAGCGAGCCGGGTCTCTTTCGTTCTGGCGGCAGAGGATGGAGATCATCGCAGACGTACCTTTTCTCGAATCCCAGCGATTCAATCCAAATCGCACCTGTCGAAATCGCCGAATCGACAGAAATCTGGAGACTAGAGAAGGGGGGGGGGTTCGCAGAGGTTGGTTGGGGGGGGGTGAGTTGGTTTTGTGACTACACAAAGTGCTGGGCGTCGGTCAGCGGTGGCATCACAGCGGTTGGAGGGTCCGTTCTAGCCGAGCAGTAATGGGAGGGGGCAGACGTCAAGGAAGTAGAATCAAAGAGCAGAAAATGAAAGTAGACTCACCTGGAATACCTGGATAACGGTCGATGACAAGAGCTGGGCGAGATGGAGAGAGTAAGAAGGTGTGGGTTTGGTTTTGGGGGGGGGGAAGAAGAGGTGGAAGAGGCAGCACTGGCAGGGTGGGTGCGCAGTGTACGATGGGTTTCACCTAAAGCGAAAAAAAGGCCTGGGTCGGTGACAGCGAAGAAGAACAAGCACTCCGGACGAGGAGGAAGATGGCTACAGGGAGGAAAGTGTTCTGATTGAGTCTACAGCGAAAGGAACGTTTATTTTAAGTCTGATATTCTGTCTGGTCCCTACGATCTGCTCATCTGGTCTGCGCATGCGGACCACCGTCGAGGCCTGAGGCCGCCCAGCGCTGCGTCACGAAGAAAAGAGAAGACCGAAGGCAGAGCACGATGGCTAAAAAGCCAAGGGGAATCTAATTTCTGACAGAGAGGGCATCATGGGCTCACTCGGTTCGCAGAGAGCAAAAGCACAGAGGCAGAAGAGCGGCATGACTGGCTGCGTGCTGGTCAGCTTGGCCACGTCGAAACGGACGCCCAATGCGATGCCAGCAAACAGCTGCGCCGAACGGATCTGGCTGCGCTGTCCCAGACAGAAATGCCCGAAGCGTTGACGGATTAGATCGTTTGTGATGCGCGAGGGGAGCGAAGCGCTTGCAGGCCGTCGCCTCTGGTCGGGAAGAGCTCGAAATGCGACGAACCCACAATTCCAGGGACCGACGAGGACCATGCGCAGGAGAAGAGTGCTTTTCGCATGTCGCGTGGACTGATCCTGCTGAGCGACAGTGTTTCTAGAGATCTATTCCCGCTGTCGCTGGAGAGAAAGTCGCTTGCGCAACCTGGTCGCCCATTCCATCGCAAACCCCGACCAGGAGCATCATGTCTCGCTCGTCGCAGATCGGAGACTCACAGACAGTCGCCCTTTTTGCAATCGGGTTCATCGCTGTCTATGGTTACCATTCTATATATATATATATATCTCTCTCTCTCTCTCTCTCTTTCTCTGGTCTGCTGGCGTGCTTTTGTATCATCCTCCGAGAAAGAGTTACCCCTCCTTCAGGTTGGGCTGGGGGCTACGTAAGAGATGATCGGTTGAATTCAACCCAGAATGGGGAAGGGGAGGGGGGAAATTCACTCTCGTGGGGCAAGAGGCAGAGGTTTTTGAACAACACGCCTTCTTTGTTCCTGGCGGTCGCTGGGGAGTGAGTGGCCTCGTACAACCTTGTAGGTTCGCCGTTCGCCTTTCTCCCCGCTCCGAGGGCCCAAGGGCCATGGGGACCCTCGACGACGATGACAGACGCCGACGACGACGATGATGACCCTGCAGATTTTCTCGCGGGAGGAGCGACTAGATAAACAAGACCATCCGAATTCGTCAGGCCGTTTGGCGGATGCACTGGCGCACTGGCGGCGGTGCTCGTGTGCCTGCGCCGGGCTGGGCTATGCAAGCTGGCTGATCCATACCCTCCCATCCAAGCCATCCTCACCCGCGAGCAAGAAACCACCACCCGGGCGATCGAGACAAAGGACCTCTACGGAAGTTTGATCGTTGATCGCTCGATTTTCGCCGCCCAGCAGCGCATCCCAACACCAGCGGGGACCGCACATCGGCCGAGGGCCTGCCAGCGCGCCAAATCTGGCCGGGCACACCGAAAGTTTGCGCACCTTTTCAATAGCGGTCTTTCGCCGGAATAATGGGGTCACGATCGTGTTGGATCCCTCTGAGAATGGAAATTGTTTTTCCCTCTTCCTTCTCTTCTCTTTTTTTTTTTTTCCCTTTTCTCTCTTTTCTCCCCCTCCCATTTACCCTCTGACTTGCAAAGCAGCCCCGCACCGCTCCAGACCAGCTACTGTGTAGGATGTGCCCTGGACTCTCTTGAAAGTCTGTGACTCGACGAGTAATTTTTTTTTGTCCATGACAGTTCTCCGTAGAGGCGTCTTGATAGGTACCGCTTGGATCCGGCGTCCCACACAGCCGCTGTCGGGGCTTCGCGAGAAGCTTTTTCTCTTATTGTGATTCTTTTGATTTCCCGCTTTTCTCGCCTTCAACCCTCCCAACGACCCGGAGGGCGCAACGCATGCCGGACGCAGGTGGTGCCTTCATGATGACTGCCTGGTGATGCGTCTTCGCCCTACGCTCCACCGCTCGGATCGGCCTGGAAGGTCACATGACTTCGTGTTTCCGTAGCGGGGGGAGCCCGCCCCTCGGCGCGTCGAGACTCGCAGCGTAGAACACCAGGCCTGTACGGTGCACGAGGCGCCGCGCATGGTATCAGCGGAGATAGAAAGAATCGCATGAGCAGGGCAGACAAATGAATCACATCGGAACCCCGTCATTATGGCCGATGGGATGGCGATAAGCAGGATCTGCTCGTAGGACGTCTGGCGGAAGACGCGTTTCATGACATCACGAGGCGTGACGAGGGGCAGTCGGAGGAAACCATCAAAACAATGTAAACAATGTAAACAGGGCAAACAGGGCAAACAGTACAGCGCCATTCGCTAGTGCTGACATAACATCTGACTCAGCGTACATGCCGCGCCCAAACAGGATTAGCCGTTGTTTACACCTGCTGGCGGCCGCAGTAACCAAAGAGGCCAATCAGACGCAAGTCCCTGGCAGTTGTTATGGGACAAACATCCAGCGTCCATCCCTCTCGTTCTGTCCTCCCTCCCCCCCAACCACCACGCTGCTTTCGCCCAGCTTTTTTTTTTTTATTATCTTGTCTGCTGGTGAAATTGCTAGGGATGGTCTGATTGTGTCCGATTCTGCACACTTCGAGGCTGTCTCCCACGCGCAGAAAGCCATTGGCAACGGACCTGGTTGTCTTGCTGGGTTTGTTTGGGCGAGAGATACCAGCCAGTGCCTACTGAATCTTCCGCAGGGAGGTAAACAAGGCCTCGCTACCGGCACTCGCCACCAGTGTGAGGGGGAAAACAACAAAAAGAGGAAGCTTCGAGTTAACCCTCCTTCGATCGTACCAAAATACAGAAAATAAAAATGGATGCTAAGGTATGTTGTTCTTTCCATTGGTGCGTCGCTGGTCGACGCGATATATGGTGTATGCCCATAGGCTTGGCTTTGGGATGCACGCGCATCTGATGCCTACGTTGTTTTGAATATCTTGGGGAAGGTCGTATACTAACGCGTTTTTGTTTTGACCTACAGCCGCAGCGAATTCGTGTCCGTGGCGACGAGAACGCCCCGGTTGCCCTGCCTCTGAGCAAAACGATCCACCAGCGCAACAAGTCGACTCCGGCTTTGTCCGCCATGTTTCACAATGGAGCGTCCAAGAATAACGGAGCAAAGCGCGCAGCCTTTGGGGACGTCAGCAATACGTCCAATCTCGTGCGTCTGAGTCGAGATGACGCTTCGCTGGCAGGCAAGAACTCGGGCAAGGGTCTCGACAAAGGCCCTGTCGCTGGTCTTGACAAGAAACCAGCCGTTCTGGCACAGCCAGCCCAGCGTCCCATGTCGGTGACTGGGCTTAGGGGTGTCTTGACCAACACGACCAACGTGGCTAAGCCGATCGAGGCTTCGAACAAGCAGACCACAGCTAATGCCCGAAAGGCTCTCAACAAGCGCGTGAACGCGGTGTTCAAAGATCCTTTGCAGCCCCTTGTTGAGTCAAAGGAAGTTTCATCCAAGGAGATTACCTCCACTGCGCCCCAGAAAGAGAAGCTGGACACCACCGACGCAGCGGGAGACCATGTCAACCCCCAGCCCCTGCCAGATGCCGTTAACAACGCAGCCAAGGGTGCTGAGGTGAAGATCCGCGAGAACGACGCTATTGCCCAAAAGGCAAAGGACCTCGACGTCCACGAGAACCATATGGCAGCCCCCAAGCAGCCTGCTGCATCCACCGCCCATTCCCACACTTATGAACACGGACCGGCTCCCTCAGAGCCCGAAGAATACTGGGATGACGAGGAGTACGAAAATGAGGATGAGGATGGATATACCACGGCCCGCTCTTACCGGTCCCGGGGAGATAACACCACTGGCGGTGCCACCATGGTGCTCTTCCCTAGATCCAATCAGCAGGTCCGACGCGAGCTGGCGCAGGCCAAGGAAATTGTCGAAGCTACTCGCACCGCCGAAGATATCGAGGACGAATACTGGGACACCAGCATGGTTGCCGAATACAGCGACGAGATCTTTGAGTATATGAAAGAGCAAGAGGTATGCATTCTTTTCTTTTTAGGGTGAGGAGTCGTCTGTAATTCCTGACCGTCTTCCAGATCAAGATGTTGCCCAACGCGCATTACATGGACAACCAGGCCGAGATCCAATGGTCTATGCGCTCTGTACTCATGGACTGGCTTGTCCAAGTCCATCATCGGTTCTCGCTTCTCCCCGAGACTTTGTTCCTGTGTGTCAACTACATCGATCGTTTCTTGTCCTGCAAGATCGTCTCCCTTGGCAGACTGCAGCTCGTCGGTGCCACCGCCATCTTCATCGCCGCCAAGTACGAGGAGATTAACTGCCCTTCGGTCCAGGAAATTGTCTACATGGTCGATGGCGGCTATCAGGTCGATGAGATCCTGAAGGCGGAACGTTTCATGCTCAGCATGTTGCAATTCGAGCTCGGATGGCCCGGTCCCATGAGCTTCCTGCGCAAGATCAGCAAAGCTGATGATTATGACCTGGAAACCCGCACTCTTGCCAAGTATTTCCTCGAAATCACAATCATGGATGAGCGCTTTGTCGGGAGCCCTCCGAGCTTTGCCGCCGCTGGTGCCCACTGTCTAGCGAGAATGATGTTGAAGAAGGGGAGCTGGGTATGTTACCTGCATTCTTTGTCGTTTCGCTCTTCTTCTCCTTACTGACGTTCTATCAAGACTCCCGCTCACGTTCACTACTCGGGCTACACTTACTCTCAGCTATTCCCACTCCTCTCTTTGATGTATGAGTGCTGCGAAAACCCCCGCAAACACCATGCCGCAATCTACGAAAAGTACACTGATAAGCGCTTTAAGCGTGCCTCGCTTTTCGTGGAGGCGGAGATGAGGAAGGGATTCCGTCTGCCTGAATTGCATCGCGAGTCCTTCAGCGATCGCAAGGGAAGCATCGAATCTGGCCAGTACTGGAAACAATGAATTTCTAAAACTGTCCATTTGACTCCGTCAGATCTAGACACACAAAAACCTCACACAAAGGCTTCTTACGATCACTGCAGCTTGGTCAAAGACCCCCGGTAATGACCTTGTTGCTAATACTCGATGACTGCACTACGACCGCTTAATTTTCCTTTTTGTTTTTTTCCTTTGACAGTCTCATCCATATCCATGGCTTCTTTTTTTTGCTCTTTTGGGAATTTTAGATTACGGGACCACGGACATCATTCAGTGGGTATGGTGAATGGAGAATCGGATCAATAATCGGATGGAGTTGTCTTTTTTTTTTATGAGAGGGAGGGCACACATGATATGAGAATCGACTACGAGTCAAAACACTCTGTCTCCATGTCCTGCTTCCCTTTCCCCTTTCTTTTTTTCGTTTCTTTTTTTTCATTTTCATTTTCTTCATCTTTTTACCCCCTTATGCCTTGTTACGATTCATCTCTTTGTCAACCCGTGTTGCCGGGGAGACCTCCATCCTCCCGTTGGACGCCCACGAATTTTCTTTGTTTCATTTTTTTTTTGTCTTTGTATTTCCTCTTGGGTCTATGTTGCGTTATGTCTTATGTCCGACTCATGGGTGGCCTTCGTAATCAATGGTAGTTGCAGTATGACTGAATATGATACTCGAGACTGCGTTTCAAGCAACTTGTATGAAACAGTAATACTAGACATGGATGACAGACTCGTTCTAATAAACCGTGTCTATTTACTAGTTATTTATAATCACCTAAAATCTATACGTCTACTGATCCAATCCATTAAATTCAATCAACCGCCTCACCACCTCAATCACCTCGTCGCCCCCTCCCTCCCGTCCTGCAGACGGATTATCAATCCGCCTCATGAGCGCCTCGTCAAGCATCATCCGCAATCGAGAGATAAGCACCCCGATCCGCGCCCAGCCACGCAAGCGAAGCCAGCCGTCTACTAGTAATCCACGGCCGACGGTGTCGAGGGTGATAGGGCCGCAAAAGAGGAGGAGCGAATACGGATTGAATGCTAAGTTCGTTAGTATACATAGAGTGAGAAAGAGAGAGAGAGAGGGGGGGGGGGGGACTTACGGGTCAAATCGCGAATGAAAACCTTGGAGGTCGCCATTTTGGTGAAGTAGCTCAGATACGCGGCGGAACCGGGGTAGCTCTGTGCCGAGAAGAGGATGGAGCTCGGGTGGATGAAGACACGGCCGTTCTCCTGGTTGAAGTATTTGATGGTGCGGGCGTCCGGGTCGATCTCCACGGTGCCGGAGACGGAGCTGGCGAATTTCTTGTCGGGGAAGCTGATCTGGGCGATCTGCGGTTGGAAGGCGCCTGCAACGAGAGCGCGGAGGAGGTTCCGGTTGCTGGATTGGCGATTCCACGGTGAAGAGGGAGAAGAAGAAAGTGATGATGGACTATCGGAGTACTCAACGGGGAGGATGCCTGCGTCCTTGAGAGAGGTCATGAACTGTGCCCTGTTCGAAGAGATGTCTCGTAGAGTCTGGTGGGACAGGAAGTTGCTGGCGCACCACGACTGCGTCTGCCAGTATCCCCCGGCTTGGACTCTCTCGGACCATTGCTGGTAGGCATGGAGGTCAGTCAAGAGGTCGCCGTCGCCTCGAGAGAAGCTTAGTTTCGCTGCGTTGGCTTCGTCGCGCTTATCGCGTGGCGAGACGAATGGACTCTTCACCGTGAGGATGGAGGCGATCGTGATACAGGCATCCATGCATCCGAATATGGAGCCGTAGACCATGAGCTTAGCGCATCTCAGATCGGCTGGGATCAGAGTGAGATATCGACCTAGCGCGGTCAGACGGTCGTGGTCGAGAGCCCCCACGCGGTGCAGGAAACCCAGGGCTCCCTCAATGGCAATGCTCTCTGGAGGGGTTATTGTGTTCGCAAGGAACGTGGCAACATCGTCAACCCCTTTCATCGCTTTGACGGATAGACACAGCTGTTCCAGTGGGACTCTGCGAATCTCGGGATCTGGCCGCTCTGCCATGTTCATCTCCGCTTTGCGAGTGTAAAGCTTGTAGCAGGATCCAGCTCGGACTCGACCAGCACGTCCACGCCGTTGCTTGCAAGCCGCCTGCGATGCCCACACTTCCTGGAGCCGAACCATGTTGTCCTTGGAATCATAGCTAGTCTCTTTGACTCGCCCGGTGTCGATGACGGCCACGATATCTTCGATCGTGATCGACGTCTCGGCGACGTTAGTTGCAGCGATGACCTTTCGTTTTCCCTTTGGCGGTGCCAGAAACACACGTCGTTGCTCACTCGGGAGGAGGGAGGCATGCAATGGCAGTGGATGGGTATTGGGAATCCTCTTGACAGCAGCCAAGCATCGCTCAATTTCAAGAGTACCTGGCAGGAAAATGAGGATACCTCCAGGCTGGTGTCCGAGCTGAGCATCAATGTAGCGAACAGTGGCTGCTATCAATTCGTAATTGATCCCCATGCCGAGACTTCGAAGAACCTTGCCCCAGGAGCCTTCAGATGGCGCATCGTAGGAGTCGGCCTCCTCGTCCCAGTCCCTTTCTGCTTGTTCTGGAACGAAGCCTGTCTCCCGAATCACATCATCCAGGTAATAATCATCCACAGGAAAAGTGCGACCAGGAATGGTCACCAATCCAACAAATTTAGGGCCTCCGAAATAATCCATGAATACCTCTGCATCCAGAGTCGCACTCATCAAGATGACTTTCAGATCCTTGCGATGCCGAAGAACCTGCCGCAACAGAGCAAGGAGGAAATCAGTATCCAAACTGCGCTCGTGCACCTCATCAACTACAACGTGTGTAATGTCTGAGAGTGAGCTGGCGATATTACCATCCGGGTCGCTACCCGATTGCATACGGCGAAGCAAGACTCCGGTGGTCACGAAAGTAATCTTTGTCACACCAGTCTTGACCTTGGAGTCTCCGCGAATGATATAGCCCACCTCGTCACCTACAGTCGAGCATCGCTCGTCACTCACACGATCTGCCAGTCCCAGGGCAGAGATCCTTCGAGGCTGTGTGCAGATAATATTCGCAACGGCCCCAAAATCGCGTTTGATCATATCATCCAGGATAAACTGTACAGATTGGGTACTCTTTCCGCTACCCGTTTCACCTGATACGATCGTCACCTGGTGATTGTTGACTGCCTGTATGATAGCATCTTGTGTTTTCCAAGCTGGCAATGACTGTCGTTTGCGAATCATTTCCTGCTGTGCTTCGCTCTCGCGCTTGGCTTCCCAGGCCTCCCGGAAGGCCCGACCTTGGCTTGTACCCGCTTTCAGGTCAATCTTCTTTGCATGTTTACGGTGCGAGCGGGTAGGTAAAGTAGTGACAGCTCCTTCCCCTGGTGACGTGGTTGAAATTATCGAAATGTCTCGCAATTTCCCAGGATTGTCTATGATGTTTGGTAGGTTGACTTCAAGCCAATCTAAAATGTTGTATATCATCGGTTCGCCGACGAAACTTATCTCCGCATATTGTATAACTTGGCGAATAGCACTCAGTCTGATGTATGCAGGAATGTTCTGCGCTTGGATTGATAGGATCGGAGGCGACAGAGGATAGTTCTGGGATGGTTTTGAGAATCGAAAGGAGATGGCCTCTTGGTTGAATGTGGCGTCGCCTTGAATCTCACAAGAATTCGGTGATAGCAGGGTATAACGGTCACCAAAGATAGCTTCCAGAGTCATCTGTTCCTCTGTCCAGGCGTCTTCATCCGTCACCTCATGCTCCGATACAACCGGAATTTCGGAGTGATGAACCAAGGTAGTTTGTAGGAACTCAGCCGCTGCCAACTCGTCGCCTCCCTTAGTATCCAGTAATTGGGAACACAAATCAATAGGATAACCGATGGAAGCAAGTCGTTTGATCTTGGCCTCCCTTGCCAGGTCGCCACTGGCTAAGCTAACGCCAGCAGAATAATTCTCTGGTAAGCTCCAGCGTGGTAGATCATCCTCTGGGATATAGACAAGGAGCCATTCGAGGACCTCTTCACGGTCCTTGCACTCTACAACTGCCTCTTCAACATGGCTGCGTCTGAAGCCTAGCCGGGTGAACTCCTCGACAATACCCCTTTGCTCCTGTGCAGAGATAATCACACCATAAGGGTTCCAAATTGTATGGTGACGCAAGAGTTCCTCGATCTCACGTCGGATTTTGGTACCCATATCGACTTTTGGCGCCTGCGACCAAATTCTCCCCCCAGTGCCGCCGCTGCTTGGACCTAAGCCCAGGCTAATACTTTGCTCCTTTGACTGCGCCTGCGCCTTCTCGCGCTCCTTTCTCTTCTTCTCAAAGTCTGCAGCAGCACTCTCACGCTCTTGCTTTGCTAGAAACGGGTCCGCCTCGTACATCCACCCTTTTCCTTCCCTTGTGTCCGCAGTTTTGATATCTGTAAAATCCTCCTTCCAGAGCTTCTTGTATGTAGGAGGCATCATCATATGGATATTGCGCATGTTGCAAACTCGGTATAATGCAAATGCTGCAGCGAAATGCCGAGCTTCTAGAGCGGTTTGCTGTGCGGCAAGTTGCTTGTGAGAGGGCGGCAGCTTCATCGGAGGAAGAGCAGTCATTTCTCTCGTTTTCGGGTCAATTTTCTTCAGGATAACAGCTGATACGTATCCCTCTGCTATTTTAGTCTTATTGAGTAGTCAGCATCGTGTCTTCCAGTGCATGTCGAAGTGAATACAGGGTCAAGATCTCACCATTGTATACTCGGGCTTCTCCCACTTCTGCTTCTGACAGTGCTCTGACAGCATATTGACAGGCAGCTTCCCCGTCCATGATGCACCGCCTATCACCTCCTTGACTGTAGGTTTCTTCTGTTCATCTGTGGCGCCCTGCGTCTTCTTTGCGTTTTCCGTCGTACGTTCGGCGGCGGCTTGTGCTTGTTTCGTTCCTGGTTTGGGTCCCCCACGGGCGTCAGCCTTCTTCTTCGGACCCATTTTCTTCTATAAACACGGAGATCAAGAGTGAACGCCCGTGGGGGATCAGTATTGAGAACCAGAACAACCCCTCAGCCTCATTCCTGGGTTATTCGAGGAGGAAGAATCACAAGCACTGTCCCGCACTAAACTTTTCTGCTGCGGGGAAATTCACGCCGCCCGTTCTCCGCAGGACGATTTACTTGTAGCCTCCAGCAAGGTCACCTTCCTCTGCAATCAGCTTAATTGTTTCTGAAACTTACTATATAGGACTGTCATAAAGCATACTGTCATCGACTTTCTCTTTTTTTTTATTTATCCCCCTTCAGCCATGGCGGAGAGCACACGACCACCAGCTGCTTCCCCACTGGAGAGAACAGAGAAGAGAGATGCGTGTAGAATCAGCCCGGTCGAGGGTGATTTCTCTCAAACAAGCTGATTTAGATTTAGTTACTGAGCTTATGTCTCCGAAGAATAAACAGCGCAAGCAGCAGACTGTGGAAAGCGACTCTCGAGATGCAAAACGCAAGACCTACTTTGGCCCTCGCGATGCCTTAGGGGCCTACATTGCTCATCCAGAATCCTATCCCTCGAACGTGGTGGTATACTACAACAGCGATTTTGTCGCCATCAACGATCTATTTCCCAAGTCTACCGTCCATTTGCTGCTCCTCCCCCGCCACCGGGATAAGAACCGCCTTCATCCCGTTGATGCGTTTGAAGACCGGGAATTTCTCGAGGCTGTGAAAGCGGAAGTCAAGAAGCTGCGTGCTCTGGCAGCGGCTGAACTGAGGAGGCGGTACGGGAAGTACTCATTGCAAGAGAAAGCTAGGGAGGAAGCATTGAGCGCAGACCCTCCTCCCGATGAGCTCCCTGCCGGCCGCAACTGGGAACGAGAGATCATGTGTGGAATCCACGCACACCCGTCCATGAACCATTTGCACGTCCACGTAATATCGGTAGACCGGTATAGCGAACGGTTGAAGCATCGGAAGCATTACAACAGCTTCTCGACGCCGTTCTTCATTGACATTGAGGATTTCCCTCTTGCACCGGACGACCCTAGGAGGGATCCGGACCACGAAGGCTATCTGCGGTGGCCGTTTACCTGTTGGAGATGCGGGAAAGATTTCGGTGATCAATTTGCTGAATTGAAAAGGCATTTGAATGACGAGTTCGACCAATGGAGAAGGTTATGACCGGGGGAAATACGGACAGTAGGCTCTCTCAAGTTTCGACTAGGTAGAAAAGTCTTTGTACTACTATTACTAGGAGAAACACACATGACATGCAATGTAGGAATCGTAGTTATACATTGACAAAGCAGGCAATCCCCAATGTCGATTACCTATTTCAGTAATCGTGCAACAGGCAATGCCTCTATATCTTTGGAAAAAAAAAAGTGTATCAAGGACAAGGCAGAAGCTTCTACACCCTCTCAATAAACTCTTCCAACACCCATTAAGCAGCGCGGGCCTTCGAGCGAGCGCCACCCTTGACCTTCCTCGCCTCGGGGCGGTTGATATGGTGGGCTGGGATCCAGTCGGCGTTGTAGGTAGTAGCAGACGTCACAACAGGGCTGGCAGCGCTATCCACGGACGGGCTAGGGGCCTCTCCCTTCTTAGAACCGCTGGCAGGCTTCTTGCTGTACTCGCTGGTCTTTCCGGAACGACGCTTCTGGGGGAAGTAGGGGGCGATCCAGACAGTGTAGAAGAAATAGACAACACCGGCAAAGCAGGCAAGAAGGAAGAGATAGAGGAAAATACTGTGAGAGAAAGGTTTTCAGTCAGTCAACTTATCGCGACGATGAGACGGGTTGGGTGTGGTGGGGGGGGGAGTCATTTACATCTGGGGGTCGAAAATGCTGGTCTCAGGCTCCACAACGCTCACGGTGCCATCGAAGGCCTGAACGCTGTAAAAGTTGCCCTCGACATCGGAGACAACAGAGACGATACTGAGTCTCAAGTCCTGGGGGTGCATCTCGGTGGCGAAGCTGTAGCTGAGGCTCTCCTTCTGACCAGCCGGGATCTCCACACTGTAGCGGGTGGCAGTCAGGTTACGGACAATCTTGCTCGAGTCCTCTTCCAGGCTCCAGAGCGAACCGCCGACGAAGTTGACGGTCACGGGGGCCGGCTCCTCATTGTGGAAGGTGACAATGGCCTGGGTGGGGTGGCCGTTCACCAGCTTCACGCCGAAGATCTCAGAGGCAGGGAAAGAGGCTTGCGCAGAGATCGACAGCTCTGGAAGCTCCTCGGCGATTTTTTCAGCCTTCTCAGCAGCGTCCTAGTAAGCAATGGGTTCCCACGTGAGCTTGCTGCAACACAATGGCGGCGGGAAGAAGCATACCGTGGCGAGGCCACTGCCGATGAGCGCCTGGAAGGAAAGAAGGGCGAGGGAGAGAAGACCGAAGCGACCCATTGTGAATGATCCGAAAGCAAGAACCCAGTAGATTGGAAGGACAGCGAGGTGAGCAAACGAGAGATGGAAGTCTAGAGAAGGAGTGAGTGGACACTGTGGTTTTTAGGGGATTCTTTTCTCCACGTAGCGTTGGCTGCACGGCAAGACATGGCTGAGTCAGCGTCAGCAGCTGGGCTTGGTCGAGGACCGATAAGTTATTACCCCATAACTACAACTGATTGCCTGTTATCACCGGCTGCAGTGAATTAATTGCTTTTGGTCGACTTTCGAACCTGCGATGAAAATCTCTACACACACACACAACATCTTACTCTGTGAAGTCTTTTTTTCTAGCGACAGATGCTTCAGCAGTACATCCTGAGCTTTCAATCCGACAAACATATTGTCTTTAAACCTCAAATTTCTGCCGTTCGCAATGATGACTTCCGAGCAATCCCAAGAGTTTCTGGAGCGATATAAGCACCTGGAAGCTATTGAATTAGAAAAGAACCAATTGATTGAGGTAGATCAATGAAATGCCAGGCTTTATGGGGGCAAAAAGAGTTGACGTCGATTCACAACCATTAGGACCTCTTACGGAGGCTATCAGAGGTGGAAGGCGCATACCAGCGCGAGAAGCTGGATCGTGAGCGAGAGACACGCTTCAATCGTGATATCCAGATCCATGAGATGGAGCTGATGGAGCAGATCTCGCAAGTCAAGAACATCATGGTGAGCTTCCAGCTTCTACTTCACTGAGCTGATGGCATTTTACTAATCGGTTTTGCTCTCCATTGCTGTAGGATCGCGAACCCTTCATAATTGTACTTTTAAATGGCGACAGTATAATATTTAACGAGACATATCTTCAACAAGGGGAGATTGGTGGACGCAAGGCAGCGCAGCAGCTGTGGGATACCCTCCAGGACTATATTATTGAAAACTTCTCCGGCACTCTACAACCAAAGATAATGGTTAGACTATACACAAATGTTAAATTACTTAAAGAGCTGTGTGAGAAGGCAGGTATTGTTGATGACCCGGCTCAGATCGACAGTTTTATAGAAGGGTTTAATACCAGCAAGGCTCTATTTGACATTGTGAATACTGGGAGTGATCGAGATCAAGCAGATAAGAAAATTACAGGTATGGAAACACCATTAACTATTCTTAATCATCTGACTATCTTCATAAGCTAATATATAACACTAATATAGAAATCTTTAGACTTCATCTTTATAATTGTCATTGCCATCAGATCCTCATTGGATGCTCTCAAGGCCCTGAATGCGCCCAGGTCCTACATGAGATTCAGATGACACGAGAGCTGGCGGGTCGTATCTCACTGATTGAGGGCACCCCGTTCGAACAGGACTTGGAAGCCATTAGATCTGCATACAGAGTCATGCGGTTTCAAGATCTGTTCCGTGATTCCAAAATAACACCTGCTGCCGGGCCCTGGAAAGCCCCAGTAGCACAGGCACCCCAGCCTATTCCCACGCCCTCCCCGAGCGTGGGTCTATCGGTCCTCACAAGAACACCCACAAATACGACAACGGCGTCCTCAAATACTAGTGCCCCTGCCGTATCTGCTATTGTTGCAGCAAACGCCCCGAAACCCAAGCCTACCAATGAACAGACCGTACTCTCGAAACCAACTACAGCTACTGAGATTGAGGTGCAACAACTGAAGACCATACCGCGCAACCGATATGGCCAACGGATCGACAAATTTGAATTCAAAAATATTCCGCGCGACGAGATCAACCGGATCAAGAAAATGAAACTCTGCAACTCCCATTTCTTGCTTGGCGGGTGCTCGAGTGACAACTGCTACCATAACCATAAATACAAATTGAGCAAGAAGGAGGCCCATATCTTGCAAGCCATAGCCCACATGACGCCCTGCCGCTTCGGCTCGGAATGTGATGACCTCGACTGCATATACGGACATCGCTGTCCCTACGGCCAGCCAGGCAAGAAGGACTGCTTCTATGGATCGAATTGCCGCTTCACCGCGGCACAGCATGGCATTGATACCAACGTCGTCAAACTGACCAAGGTGTAGATATACCCTTGTCTTCTTGCCTTGTTCATACGCTTTGATATACGCCATTTCTAGCTGTTCTCCTCCACATAATGATACTGGCGACACAATTCTGGATTTGACATATTTTAAACTTTTCCAGAAAAAAGGAAGACTTCATCTTAGCCGTTTACCATAACGACTTGTCATTTGGGCAACCTTTTGATCATATTCTAATCTCTGAATCTTTTTTTTTGGACATAAAATCCGCTTTTCATGAAGATATTCGGGCTTCCACTTTCATCAATATATATGATACATGGATCAAATGGGAGGGATTATGAACAATTACTCAAATTGATGTATTCAAAAGTCTTAATAAAATAATAATAACAACCTTGAATATTGGTTCTTCCAAGAATCATCGCAAAAGGCCAGTGCATGAATATAGACAAGAGAAATGATGAAAATGCGCTTCTCGGGGTATCAGTAGTGAATGGTCGTTTGAAACAGGGCAAACCGCTGTTCCCAGCCAAGACAGTCGTCGTGGCCACATTCGAGGTCATCCTCGATATTGCGGCTGCGATGTGAACACGGGACGCCGTATTCCTTGATGCAGCAGTTGAATGGTAACGAGGAGATGGCTTCTGGTTTTAGTAAAGCGGAACTGGCTCCCTCTTGAGCCAGCTTCCGCTTTTGTTCCTCCAATTCACCCCAGAGGATGAAGAGTCTTTCGCGTAATTCATCCAACCGCGATGGGTGCTGACGCAGACTGGTCACAAGAGAGTCAGTATGAGAATACTCCATGCTTGAAATGGTTCACATACTCGGTAGGGTCTAGCTGGAGAAGGTGTACCGCGTCCTGGCCGGATACAAAAAGCTTCATCCGCGCCCTGGGCTCGCCAGGTGGCGGTGGCCGGGAGCTCTCGACTAGTAGACAGAACCGCCAGGTCCATCGCTTCCTCTGATTGTCCGGCTCCTCCTCTGTCTCGTCTAAAGTACCTGGCGAGTCCTCTGGTTTGTCTTGTACGGAGAAATCTTCTAAACTCGGCGGAAAGAAGTCAATGACGCGGACGGTGGACCGATAATTCAGATTCTGGAAGGGCAGGCGGTAGTTGAAACCGGCTGGTGAGACGTTATTGTGAGATTCGTTGCTCATGATGTCTTCCAAGCTGCGGCAACGAACTGCCGGGTTGGCTGCTTGAACTGTACAGAACAAAGGTGGTCAGTTAGAGCCTGCTAGAATATACATATAGGAAGCTTACCATGTTGATTAATTTGATTTTTCTTCAAGATTTCCACCGACGGCTTGAGTGCGGTTTGGCCTTCTTCGACTTGCATTTTCTGCTTCTTGCGCTCATTTGGCTCTTGCTTCTTGAAGGCCCTCTTAGATGCCAGTCTCTCATCTGACGCACTGCCAGGGGCCTGATGTCTGGGGTTCCGCTTTTCATACTCTTTTTTGCGGCGGACCAAATCCTTCACTCGAGAATCATCTCCCACATCTACCTGCTGCACATGGATCTTCTTCGGGTAATGACGGTCTGTGTGAATAACACCCTCCATCTGACTCCCCGGTCTCATTTTGATATGAACATTTGTCAAAAAAACAAAGTCATTTACCTTTAGGAATTCCCGGGCGAAAGAGGCATGCGGCTCCCAAAGGGTTACTAGGATCGTCATTTGCCCCGAGGGACCCTTCCATTTGCTGGCGGTGCGCGAGATATACCCGTGTGGATCACCATCACGGGCATCTCCTGTCTCGTAGTTGTGCAGCGACTTGTGAGCAGTGTAGTCGGTGACGTATATGGTGAATTTATCGCTGCCATCGGGATAAGTTTTGACGACCTGGGCAACCAGGTCGACGAATGTGTGAGGCTTGATGTCTTTGATCAACGAAAATTCTCGTTTAGAAGATGCCTTTTTTGCGGATGCTGAAGACTCTACAACAACGGCTGGTCGGCTATATGGGGTGGAGGGAGGGGCCCGTTGGAGACGACGACCTCCCGAAAGGCGATCCAGCAGGCCATACGCGTAGTCTTGTTCGATTGCGATCGGCTTCGCCGAGTTGGGACTACAGATGGGGAACCTTCCGTCCGGGCGAAAGATTGCCCAAGGAACTTGATCGTTCTGTGACACAACTGCCAGACGTTTTCCCTGGTATAGTTTCACCTACAAGCAATCAGTCAGCACCTTGCAAGCCCATCCATCACGATAGGAGGCAAAAGAATGAAAGCACAAACTCTTGTATCCCTCAGTAAAATTACATCGTGGAGTCTGACTGGCGGTATCGCGTACGGGTCGTCATTGAAGTACTTGACCTTGAGCCCATCCAGCGGCTGCTTGTCAAGCTCACAGTCCTTCAGCGTGAAAGTGATCAGTGAAGACGTGCCTCTCGATGGTTTCGTCAATGGCAAAACATCTACCGCCACGCCAATGACGCTCACAAACCCCTTCGACGAGATCGCCGAGGGGACGTCGACAAACCCCGGAGGCAAGGCCGCCATGGTGCTTGCCTGAGTGAGTGAGTCGCGACGAAGCACGTGATATCCAACCCAGGACGGGGGACTGAGGACTCAGGACCAAGAAAGCTGCTGTCCACTACTCCCCCTCATCCAATCCCAGTATGGGAATAGAATCCGCTATCGTGTCCCTCCAGCTGGAATCACAGTAGACAGAAACAACGATCGCGATTGGCCCAGGCCATCATCACAAAGACCCAGCGCGCGTCAACTGGACAAAGAGCTGGCTCTATCACATACGCCCCCAGGAAGATCAACCCTCTGAGTCCACAGTGGCCGTTTGTATTTAGCCGTCGTTTGCTTATAGAGCGCACCCAAAGTATTAGGTAGTTATTAGACAGTAAGGTAGGCAGTCCTGGCTGTAGTATCAAAACGCACGCTGGCGCCAACTTCGCTTAGGCGGGTGTGGCGCTTGCAGGGCGAGAGCACCGAAAACAGCAAATAAGAATGACACCGCCCGCTCCGTCGCTGGGCGAATCCCACTTCACCAAGCATCAGACACTTTTCTTCCCCCCTCCTCCCTGCAAGAAAACGTCTGTGTCCATCTCCGTCCATCCTATCCAGGGTCTCCGGGGAAGTCTTTGCGTGAAATACATTTTTTTCTGCTGAGTGCGTTCCTGTCGGGTTAGGTTGGGTTTGCACGTTTGCCGACGTCTCTTTGACCCCTCGTCCGCTAGCATATCTTTTTTCTTTCGCCCCTCCCCTCCTCCACTCCTCCTCGTACCTGTACAACCGCCACGATGAGCGACCGCTATATCCCCGAGCATCGTCGCACCCAGTTCAAGGCCAGGAACCAGTTCCGGCCGGACGAGCTTCGTCGTCGCCGTGAGGAACAACAAGTCGAGATTCGCAAGCAGAAGAGAGAGGAGAACCTGGCCAAGCGCAGAGGCATCCAGACAAGCGATGGCGGCATCGGTGTCGGCGGCGGTTTGCCCGCTGCTGAGAGCGACGATGAGGCCAGTGCCATCGAGAGTGAGGTATGTTGGTTTTTTTCATGTTTTTTTTTTCTTTGTTTTGTGTCTTCCATCTTCTGGTTGTATCCATCCCCACTGTTTGTTTTGGTCGCTCAGGGAACTCCACCAGGCAGTTTTACCAACACGGTAGAACGGGCTTCACTTGGGTTTATAATTGTTTTTATAAAAAAGAAAAAGAAATGGAAATATATTTTCTAACAAGATACAATTATGCTGACATTTTTTCTTATTTTTTTAGCTCAATGTGGAGCTGCCTGAGATGGTCAAGGGTGTGTTCTCCGACCAGATTGAGCAACAGATTCAAGCAACCACCAAGTTCAGGAAACTCCTGTCAAAAGAACGCAATCCTCCTATCGAGCGTGTTATTGAGACTGGCGTCGTGAGCCGTTTCGTGGAATTTCTGCGATCCCCCCACACTCTGGTGCAGTTCGAAGCCGCGTGGGCCCTGACCAACATCGCGTCCGGCTCTGCCCAGCAGACGCAAGTCGTCATTGAGGCCGGCGCGGTGCCCATCTTCGTGGAGCTTCTGAGCAGCCCGGAGCCCGATGTTCGGGAACAGGCCGTCTGGGCTCTTGGTAACATCGCCGGTGACAGCCCCCAGTGCCGTGACTTTGTCCTGGGCGCCGGCGCGCTCCGTCCTCTCCTTAACCTTATCAACGATGGCCGCAAGCTTAGCATGCTGCGCAATGCCACCTGGACTCTTAGCAATTTCTGCCGCGGGAAGACCCCTCAGCCGGACTGGAATACTGTAAGTCTCCCCGTGCCCTTCCATCTCTCCTGGGAACTACTGGCTTCTTTCTAACCATTATGCCTTCTACACCACCAGATTGCCCCTGCTCTTCCTGTTCTCGCCAAGTTGAGCTACATGCTCGATGATGAGGTTTTGATTGATGCCTGCTGGGCTATCTCCTACCTGTCCGATGGCTCCAACGACAAGATCCAGGCTGTGATTGAGGCTGGAATTCCCCGTCGCTTGGTTGAGCTCCTTATGCACGGCTCTACCTCTGTTCAGACCCCTGCTCTTCGGTCTGTTGGAAACATCGTGACCGGCGATGATGTGCAGACCCAGGTCATCATCAACTGCGGTGCCCTTCCTGCCCTGCTGTCTCTCCTGAGCTCCACCAAGGATGGCATCCGCAAGGAGGCCTGCTGGACGATCTCCAACATCACGGCTGGCAACTCCAGCCAGATCCAGGCCGTGGTCGATGCGGGTATCATCCCTCCTTTGATCAACCTCCTGGCCAATGGCGACTTCAAGACCCGCAAGGAGGCTTGCTGGGCCATCTCCAACGCGACCTCGGGCGGTCTCCAGAAGCCCGACCAGATCCGCTACCTTGTCTCTCAGGGATGTATCAAGCCCCTCTGCGATCTGCTCGCCTGCCCCGACAACAAGATCATTCAGGTTGCCCTTGATGGTCTTGAGAACATTCTCAAGATCGGCGAGATGGACAAGGAGGCTGGTCAGGCCACTGAGACTCGGGTCAACCGCTACGCTCTATTCATCGAAGAGGCCGGTGGCATGGAGAAGATCCATGACTGCCAGAACAATGCCAACGAGGAGATCTACATGAAGGCCTACAACATCATCGAGAAATACTTCTCCGATGAGGAAGAGGCTGGCGGTGATATCGACGAACTCGCCCCTCAGGCCACACAGACCGGTTTCACCCTGGGTACCAGCCAGCAACAGCCCGCCGGTGGCTTCACCTTTGCTAACGGTGGTGACTCTATGGACATGTAAGGTCGGGGGGAAACCCCTGACTATCTTGTCTAGGAAAGAAAGAAAAGAGCCAAACTGTCTTCAGTGCGGTTAATGAGGGTTTCTCTTGTTTGAGTGGTGCCCTTGCCACCACTCCTCATAGTTGCCCTCTCAATCCGCATCCCGTTAAGTCTCAGGGAGTCTCGGAGTTTTGCTTTCTCTCCTTGGAGCGTCAAACAGCCTTCCTCTCAGACTTAAGGGTTTGTTTTTGACGTCCGTTGTCTGATCTAAAACCTGAGAGACCCCTCCTCGGGCTGGCTGGACTCAACATCCTGGCTTGGAACATGGTTTTCATGTTTGCTTGTTTCTCACACTTCCTAATTGCCATGCCATTTTCTCCCCGTCCCCCAATTCCCCAGCACATGAAGTTCCACAGCTCATGATAACCTAGATGCCCCGTCATGTAACCCCCCCCATCCCTTCTATATTCCTGTCTTACCTTAACAGACCACCTGGCATCCCTCATACACCGGCGCAGTATTTTTTTCTCTTCGATTCCGCTTTTTTTTGAGTTAGGTTATCCTTTTATTTTACTCTCTGTTTCTTTACCCTTTCCCCCAAGGCTTTTTCTTGTTTCCTTTATGGCCCTGTCTTTTTCTTTTCCCTGGCGAAGGAAAAAAGGCATACCTCCCATCATCTTCCCAAACCGATGACTAGTCCTATACTGTTTGCTACTCTTAGTCTTGAATGTCGGTCGTCGGATGTTCGAACCGCAGCAATCGAAGAGAAAAACAATATGGCCCAACGAGCTCCACCTGGATACTCGACATGACATCGTTGAACTTGATGGTCAGAAAAATTGATAATGAATACACTAGATTCCTGCTATTCCCCTTCTTTTTTTTCCTTCATACAGTAGTTGCAATATCCTGCGGAATCTACAGATATTCAGACCATACGTGAGCCAGTCATTATATGATTTATTTCAGATCCCACCTACATAACTGATATACAGACAACAAACCAGCCGTAACCCGGCAGCGAGAAGGGAGTAGAAAGAGCAAATGATATAAAAGACACTTCGCTGATTCATTAGGTCCGGAGGGGGAAGGAAAAGTGAAAAAAATAAAAGACGAAAGAAAAAATTTGAATACATGTGAATTTTAAATCAAGCCCTTGGGTAAGGAAAGGAACAAAACAAACAAGCTAATCGCCCATGATTTCGTCTTCATCTGACTCCGGAGTCCGGGGCGGTGCGTCGTTCTCGTCCTCGATGGGATCGTCGACAAGTTCCCGGGCGCGCAGATCGTCTTCATCATCCTCTTCGCCGTGGTGGGCTTCGATCTCTTCGTCCTCATCGTCATCCTCGATCCTTTCAACGGACTTGGCCTGTTTCTGTTGCCGTTGTTTGGCTTTAGACCTAGACGTAGAGCTGTTTGCCGGCTTGCTATCGGTCAAGAAGGCGAGCACTTCTCGGTAATTATGGCCGAGACGCGACTTGTTCTTGAGAAGTCGCTCTCGTAACTTGCCGCGTTGGGCGCCCGAGGCGTCAATGACCCGGCCAATCATGGCGAGGACGATCTTGCCTGTAAGCTCGCAGAGTCGCTGCTCGGCGACGATGGTCGATCGGAGGCGTTCGTTGACGACCGCAGGATCTTCATCGTTCGAGGCCTGCTCGTCATCCTCCGATTCGGAGGTCGGGGCGTCGTCGTCGGCCGGCTCGAGGTACCGACCTACTTTCTTTGCATAGATCCGTTCGGCGACGCCGTGGATCCGCGCAATGAGAGTCTGCGTGTCCGACCCGATTTCATGCACCAGGCTCTGGGTCTGTAGAAGAGTGTCCTGATCATTATCGCTGTTCTGTCCGGCATGACGAAGTGTGCCGAAGAGTGTTTGTAGGTCCAAGAGCGCTGTGATGGCAGCAAAGCGTTCTTCATCCAGACCAGACCGTTCTTGCATGATAGAGATGAGCGTTGCAACAAAGGTTTCGCGGCTCTTGGTAATCGCTTCAAAGTACGCAGTGTTCAAAGCTTTTCCAGAATTCAGGGCGGCACTTAGAGCTTGCACCTTCCACATAAAATAGAACAGTAATGACCGGATGCTATTCACCACGATATCCCGTTCCTGCTGAGCCGTATCTTGGATGGCTTGTTTGCTGCGAATACCACGCTTCGCGAGGTGGATCAGGGTATTAAAAGGTGCCTCCAAACGAGCCTTCTTGGCCTTGGAGCGCGAGGAAGGTACGGTTTCTAGAATGGTGGTACAATCAATCACACTGGCCAATTTCGAGATTCTCATGACTGTGTTGGAAAGATCCGTCAATGCAGATTCTGGGATTTCATCGTCCGAATCCTGGTCTTTCATGTGCACGAGAGCGCTCAGGGTATCGACCATATCATCCCACAGCTCCTGGATCTTGTTTTCCAGGGCTTCTTTCAATTCATCCGAGCTCTTGGCATGCAAGAAAGCAATAGTAGCCTCCGCAAGTACATCTTGGTCTGAGTGAGTCAAAAATTGCTTGTTGATATCATTCAGCAGGGACGAATAAGCGGTGACATCCTTTTGCATGTCTTGGATTTTATCCAGATCGACCAAGTGTTCCAGTCGGAGAACAGCCGACGCAGCTTCAGGAGACGAGCCGAATTTGTTCAATAGCTGCGGGATGATCTGGGCGAGACCGTGCGCAATCTCTTCCTGTTGTTCAGTGATCTTCTCCGTCAACCCCTTGGCTCTTCGCCCCCTCCTATCAACATCTGACTTGGCCACATCAAGGATACGGAGTTTGACTGCACAGCCAAGAACCTCCAGAAGAATAAGCTCATGGCCTTCTTGCATCCTATACATGTTCTTCACGGTTCCTGTCGTGTCGTCCTCGGCAGGTTCGACAGGAATCTGCGAATGGTCGTATAGGAGATAACCAGCCAGGGACTGCCATTGAGATAGTTCCTCAAGATGTGGATATATGGCCTCAGTGGCTAGGACAAATCGGGAGTCAATAGAAGAGCCTGACAGGACGTCTCTTGACGCCATGGCTGAGCGTTCTGGTTTAAGCTCGTTCTCCTGCTCGTCGTAAGCCTGCAAGATGTCGGCCAGGCACTTGAACTTAATCCAGGATCTTTTCGGGGATTCGGTATCTTCTTCATCCTCATCACCAAAAATCTCATTCATCTCTTCGCCGACCTCTTCGGTTGTAGACTCAAATACGTCCTCAACATTTGCGACGAAGAAACGACCGGCAGCCTTTCTGACCCGGGGCTCCAGATCAAAGACCAGTCGGCCGACGGTGTCTATATCAGCGGGTTCGATCATACCAGCATCACGAATCAGGTCCAGGAGCTCGACCGCCGAAGCACGAACGCTCACATCGGCATCTCGAGTCGCCATCTCTACCAGCCTAGGACGAAACCGTTCGGTAAATGAGTTCAAGCCGGCGATGTTATCTTTGTTTTCAAACAAGATCTTGAGTTCCGCGACCACAATCAAACGCGCTTGAGCGGAGGTGTCAGATAGTACCCAGCCAAGGTATCGAAGGTACTGGCCCTCGAAAAAGAACTCTCTGTAGGTGCGGAGCCACTGGCCCAAGGAGGACATGCACTCAGCGCGAATCTTGGCATCAACATCCCGATACCGGTGGACGAACACGGTGTCGAACGAGTCCTTGAGAAGCGCATCGATAATTTCGAGTTTATTTTCCCCTTCCTGGATTGCAGTTTGAATTGCGGCGGCTCTACCCTTGTTTGCCGTTTTCTTCTTCTTTTCGCTTTCCAGTTGTTTCCGCGATGTCGATATCGTGGTGGTGACTTCTCTTGCCAGAGCACACAAGGCGGTGGTGACCGTCAAAGAGATGAGGGTAGCAGTATGGCGGAAGGGCCTACAGCCTGCTGTAGACAGGCCGGCCACCCACGTCTGGAAATTCTCGAACAGGTCGCCATCGGTATACAGCGTTGAGGAATGATGAAGGGTCTGCGTCAGCGCTGTGAAGAAGTCTTGCAGAACCGGCTGGAAGGAACGAAGACTCTTTGATTTTGAGATCAGGGGGTATTCCGAAATGCCCTGCTCCTGGTAGTCATCCTGTAGGTCCTTTATAGACTGCGGTATATGGTCCACATCCTCAATGTCTGCCGTAGATACCTCGTCGGTGGAGCCTGTACAGCGCAGAATGAAATTGACCAAGTCACAGAGTCCCTCGGCCTTGTTGCGCTGATATTGTGTGAGCCATTCGGCCGCAACCGCATCGACCGTTTGACCTTTCGCAAAGACCTCGGCTGAGAAAAAAAAAACAGTCAGTTTGCAGCAGAGCAATGAAGAGCCTGGGCGATGCGCATACCGTATAAACCTCCTACTTCAGCAGCAAAACTGAACTTTGCAGCGCGCTTCCTCGGACGAGAAACAGCCGGCCGCAAGGCCAATTGTCTGCGAGCGCCATTCCCAGCAACCCTGGGCTTCTTCGCGGTATGAGCCTTGGGTTTCGCCCTCGACCCAGCAGGCGCTTTCCTATTCGCCATGCGGCGCCCTGAGCGTTGCTTTTCCCTCAGCTCTTCTTCGTCCGGTTCATCATCCTCTTCCTCCTCGCTCTCTTCGTCCAACGCGTCTGGCCCCTCCTCATCTACGTCTCCGTCCTCATTGTCGTCATCGTTATCATCATCATCGTCGCCGTCGCGCTTGCGCTTTGCCCTGCTGCCGTGACCCTCTTGCGAAAATAACTGGGGCTTCCGCGACACCCGACCGGACTTCCTTCGATCTGCTGCGGGCGACGATGCGGGTTCCTGGGAGGTGGCGGCCAGCGGGCTCGACGAACGTGACTCCGCCATTACCGAAACACAAGGTAAACTTGTTGTAGGGAACTTCCCCTCGAAAGACGTGTTGTGTCTGATTGCACGATAGGGCGGGTTCGAAAAATGCCGGCGTGATGTGACGTTGTATAGAGAGCCAGCTCAACAGACCAACAGACGCGCAACCCCGGGAGACGCGCGAGAAGGAGCTCTCGAATGGGAGTGCGCGGCTGAAATACCGTCGACCAACCGGCTTGCTTTGTATTCGAGCGTCTATGGGTAAACTATCACAGACAGATTGCACACTCACAACCTGGCAGATGGAAAGGGGGACCCTCGGGACTCTTGTCGACGCGACTTGTCAGCTATTTACCTAGTAGTTACCTACTGTAGTGAAGCCTGAGGTAGAATCATTGTTACCATGTCACGGGGAGGGGAGGGTCGGATACCTGTAAATACGCGTTTGTTACACCGTTACTAGTGCGTATCGATAAGCCGCATCTGACCGCCTGGAGCCCTAACCCTTTCCCCGATACGGATTCGGCTTGTTTGTCTTGTTTGTCTTGTTTACAGTCTCCCCTCCAAAGAGCTCTTCTTATCAGGTCTTCGACAACTGTTCAATCCGACTGCTCCGGTTAGGAATGTGTGCTGTCTAGCTGATGAGGTTGTGCGACAAGGGGATATCTTGCTATGGCTGGGATATATTGATTTGAATCGGACACGATGTGTTTATATTGCAGTCCCTTCTCTCGACACCCCTCTATTGCTTCCCCCCCCCCACTGGATCGATTGAATCCCATCCAAACAGATACGACACCCCCCGATACATAGAATACTAAGCATCATTCGAGATGCCTGTTCTTTCTCCTTTCCAGTCCTCGATCGCCAAGCCCGGCCAGGGAAAGGTGGTGCTCACGCTCCTTCCACCGGGGATCCCAACGCTCAAGACCCTGACGTACAAGTATCCTCTGAAGCTGCTGACGCGCACTAGCGGCTTCGTCCCTGAATCATCGGCATCAAAGAATGCGGCGCGACCCGTGCATCTTTACCTCCTCAGCTACGGCGGCGGCCTGCTACCAGGCGACCAGATCGAAGTCTCGGTAACTCTGGAACCGTGCACGCGGCTTGTCGTGACGACGCCGCAGGGGAGCACGAAGATCTTCAAGACGGAGGTGGAGGAGGTGGGAACCACAAGACTAGCAGGTGGAGAAGAAGAAACACGATTACAGAAGATGAGTCGGCAGGTTGTCGACGTGCGGATCGACCGTGGTGCCGCGCTGTGCTACCTGCCGGACCCGTCTGTGCCCTTCCGAGACAGCCGGTACGAGCAAGTCCAACGCTTTACAGTAGTGGACGGCACCGTACGCGACGACGCACAGCGCAGCAGCCTCTGTGTGTTGGACTGGGTGACGCAGGGTCGTACCTCGCGCGGCGAGAATTGGGACTTTCACAGCTGGCGGGGGAAGAACGAAGTATGGTCGGAGAATGACAAGAAGAAAAAACTTCTCCTCCGCGACTCGGTGATTCTCGACCAGGAAAGCCAAGACCCCGCGGCAGGGTATACTCTGATTCGGGAACGGACACGCCCGCACGGCGTCGTAGGAACATTGATCCTGTATGGTCCCTTGTTCGAGTCGCTCGCCTCCTTCTTCATGGACACGTTCGCTTCCTTACCGCGCATCGGCGGCCGGAACTGGTCCACTGCTCCGTCCACTGCGGCCGATGCAAGCCATAATAATGCTGATGGTAATGTCACATGGACTGCGGCCCGGGTGCGCGCGGGCTTTGTGCTGGTGAAATTCGGGGCGAGAGACTTTGAGACGGCGAGGTCGTGGCTGGGCGGGCTGTTACGCCGGGAGGGCAGCATAGCGAGGGAATTCGGAGAGGAAGCATTACTTTTTTGTAGTTAACTGTCATCATTCAATCTAATCAATTCAATAACATTGTAATCATTCAAGAATATATTCAATTCAACAACATTGTAACTATTCAAAGGGTATATTTATCGTAGGAATCTATCGTCAGTCGTGGTATCATCCAACGCCATCTAGAAGAAGAAGAAGAAGAAGAAGAAGAAACTAGTTAGGAAAATAAAGCCAATCCCACACATTCACCTTCCATTTCCCTCTCGTGGCGCTCCGCAAATCATCTACATTGAGAATATCGACACCCTCCTCGACAAGAATCGTCCACAGATGATTACGCAGACTGCGCGGCCAGCTGGGGAGAGCCCAGTAGCGGACCTTGAGGCCGCGACGGTGCGCGCCGCGGATCTGGGCGCGCATCTTGCCGATCTGGTGCGGAGTCAGCCGGAACCGCCAGGGGTATCCGATCGAGGCCGAGAAGGAAACGGAGGCGTAGAAACTGTTGGTTGCGTTGAAGGTTTCTGGGCCGATGGTGGCGGGGGTGCCGGTCTGGCCCTGGCCGGCGTTTTTGTCGGGTTTTAAATATTTAGATAGAGATAGAGGATTGGAGAATTCATGCTCGGTATCTGGATCGTCGTCGTTCCCATCTGCTAGCATGTCGAGCGGGGCGTCGAAGAAGACATCTCGATAGGTCGAGTTGGCCATGAGCAGGTCAAAGGGGGCATTTCCCGTGCCCACGACGGTGATGGGGCCCGGGATGACCTTCCCACCGTCAAAGTAGGTGAGGTAGCCGCGCTCGCGCAACGGGGTCAGCTGGTCCACGAGGGCGGGCCAGGTGGCGGCGCCGTCGGTCTTGAAGTCGATGAGGAGGACGAGGGTCTGGGTCGGGGCGGTGTCGAACACGCCGTGCAGCGGACGGTCGCGAGTCGGGTGGAAGTGGGTGATGGGGTTCTGGCGGTCGAGAATGGACAGCAGCGGGTTGAGGTAGAGGCTGCGCAGCGTGCGGCTACGGGTCAGAGCCGAGGTGGTGTGGCCGACGTAGAGCTCCTGGTCGAAGAGCCAGATGTCGGCCTCGACACTGACACATCCGGCCTGCAGGGCCGAGTACAGCGGCACCCGACGCCAGTAGTCGTTGTGCGAATGGCACGCCACGGGCTGAAGATCGCGCGAGACATCCGTCGGCCAGTGCAACAGGTCGGCTCCCTCGTAGCCCGTCCGGTCCTTCCAGTGAGTCGCCGCGCGATCGATCTCATCCGGGAAGAACGACAGAACGATGCCGCAGACAAGTGAGACGAATTGCAGAACGCCTCTGTCCATAAATCAGCATTGCCTTAGTACTTCCCAAGACCACGTAACCAGTCACTATTCACTTACAGCATGACAAAAATAACCAGCGCCGAGGCCAACGCACAGCGAGACACCCTAGACCGTCGAAAGCGCCAGCGGCAGCGTTTGACCGGCCGATCGTTGGACGGCAGCAGGGGCAGAGTCTCGGTTTTCTTCGGCGAAGCGAACAGCGACCACCACCAGCACAAAAGCGGGCGCTCGTCGTCCAACTCTTCTTCGTCTGGGAGCGAACCGACAGTGACGCGGATGCAGGATTTGTCAGGGACACTGGTTTTGACGTCGTCGTGGTCGTCGTCGTCGTCGTTGTCGTCGAGAAGCAACGGCCGCTCTGCGCCCTGTTGCAGTGGAGCGGCGGCCGACGAGGCGGAGGCGTGGAGACCCCGAGACATTACTACCGTACGTACTAATATCTGACAAAGACCGAGGCTCTGTCCATGGTGGACGAGATCTTGCAGTCTTTATGTACAGCAGAAAGTCCTCTATCTCTGTCTTTGAGCAGCAGCGGGAGTCCCTCTGCCAGTCACAGACGCTCTGGGCAGTTCGTGTCGCTCTCGTTCGTCGTGCCGCCTTGGAAGATGGGCGCATGTGTTGGGAGGCGGCGTCTGATTGGCTGGCGGGTCCACGTTCTGGCATTGGAGACGGTGAACGGTGAATTTGTAGATCAAAAACTGCAGGAAGGTAAAACTTTAGTGTGTCTGTCCACTGTCTACTCTACTGTCTAAGTTAGTTACCTTAGTCGACTAGGTATCGAATCTAAATATGGCAAGGTTGCGAGGTTCCCTGGTCAAGGCATACTCAACCTTAGTACTCGTACTTAGTACTACTACTACTAGTACTACAGTAAGGTACCTAGTGACTAAAAATTAGAAAGAGAAGACTATCCAGTGTGAAATTGTTCTTACTGAATAGTGATATGTCTTAGAGTTGGAGAATGAGTCTAGTGATATAGAACTAGACTGCCTGTATTAGATTGTCTTCTACGGTGGTGTGAGTAGAAAATACCTGAGCAGCTTGGGGGTGGGTGCCTAGCAGGGGTTAGAACCACCTTAGGTACTACCTAGTAATAACTACCTAGTACGCTACCTAACCTACCAGGTAGTGGTACTAGTCGTCTGGACTCTGGACCCTGAAGTACCAGTGCCCTACCCGCTATTCCTAAAACAACAGGGGCCATTCCAGCCTTCTTATCCTTGTCTCAACCTCATGCGCAAATGCCATGACTTGACAGGTTATCCGGCATTTGGCCGGGCAAAGTGGCCTCAGATGACTCCATATGTCTTTGATCCAAATATGAAGGTGTATTACATCACATGAGATCCAATTGTGAAGCTATCTGCTGCTTTGAATCTTCGGCAGATTTGCTCTCGCAAAAACTGCTCTAGATTGGATTCGACCAAGCAGACGAGTTGGCCATACTACAAGGTTGCTATTTCTTCCGTGTACTCGTAAAAATAAATAGTTGGTGCCTTCTTTCGAGGCTGAAGGGCGGAATGTATAGGATAGGAATGCAAAAAAAAAGAAAGAAAAAGAAATGCGACACCTCAGGGATTCGAACCCTGGCGGGCGAACCCACTGGCTTACTTTAGGGGGAAACTAATAGCAGGCCAGCGCCTTAACCACTCGGCCAAAGTGTCCGATGAAGATTTCACAGGTAGTTATGCTACATAGTGCCTCTTGATCAACAGCTACGAAACAAAGTGGCGAAGTACATAGTTACAACCTACCTACCTAATAATTTATGTTCTGAAGAAAAAAAATAATAGTGACAATCTTTCTCGAAATATTTGTTGAGGGTTATAAACCGGACTCGCTTACCTTTCTGGCATAAAGACGAATTGACGTAAGGCCAAATCAAATGTTTTGTGGCTGTCTTTGACTCGATCATCGTGCTGCTCTAGACGGCAGTATTCTCTGACCACAGCGTGGGCACATTTCGCTGGGAAGTAGCAAGTACTGCGTAGTCCAGGTCAGGTCAAGTCCGTCGAGGGGATTGGTTGATGGGTGTCGATTTGATTGTCTGTCTGTCCATTTATCTTCGTAAAGATAAAAAAAATGGCCAACGAAAAGAAGAAGGGAATAGAAGAAAAAAAGAAATGCGACACCTCAGGGATTCGAACCCTGGCGGGCGAACCCACTGGCTCACTTTAGGGGGAACTAATAGCAGGCCAGCGCCTTAACCACTCGGCCAAAGTGTCAAGAGTGGCAAAACGTCCGGAAGAGTGCTTGATGTTGCAGAGTTAATATACTACTGCAAACTCCTCCATAGGTTGAGCCTCCTCGTCTCAAGTATCCTCGAGGCCGACCATGGGCCACTTAATCCCTAGCCAATACTTCCAATTTTAAGCACCTAGATATTAGACCGAATATATTACTGTAGTAGCTCGAGGAAGAGGATTTATGGGAAAGTCATGCAGTATTGGTCGATATCTTGCGTGGGAATCAAACTGGTGCGAACTATATATTTGTGTTGACATCCATGGAAGGGGAAGCCAGAGCGCCGCCCAGCAACCCAGACACCCTCCTCCAAGATACAAACCAGAACGCCACAGTAGAGATTTGGCACCACTAGCCATAATAGGGTTGGTGGAGGTAGCCTTACCACATCACAGGTTTAACACTGCCAACCTCGACTGGAAGTGCATACGACACATAGTATATCACCTAAAATTCAACAATATGGAACCATGCACTGATCACATGCTATTGGTAAGCAACCAGTGTGAGAAACCATCTATAAGTCATAAACTGGCATTAAACTAAGTAACTATTAACTGCCTCACATATATGCCTCGGAGGCGCTTTAACGGCGCCACGGAGCTATAAATCATCGACCACTTTGATGATACTGGCATGTATGACTACAAAGCTAGGTTCTAGATCTCTTGTAGGAGAAAGAAAATTTGCTTCTTAGTTCCTGCAGCAAGGTAATAGCACTTGAGTACAGGGAAATAATCAATACTGGAACATAGGTTCTATACGACAATCCATCCCTACTAAACAACTCAACAGCGAACGATGTGTCTCAGATAAGTATGGATGGTTATAATTTTCACTATGGTGTGATTAGTCACTCTTGACACTTTGGCCGAGTGGTTAAGGCGCTGGCCTGCTATTAGTTCCCCCTAAAGTGAGCCAGTGGGTTCGCCCGCCAGGGTTCGAATCCCTGAGGTGTCGCATTTCTTTTTTTCCTCTTCTTTTTTTTTCTTTTTCTTAGATACCGAGAAAATAAACCGAGTATCAGAATACAAATAAACCATATCTAAACAATGTCTAACACTCTCACTCCTAGGTCTGTGATCAGTAAATATTAATAGATAATTAGTCGTACCTCGCTGTTGAGTTCATATCTACACAACTCCAAATCAGAACTACATATCTTATCGCTCAAGAAATTTTTCAACGTCAACTTCACCACTCCACGCCACAATGCCGCATAAGCACAAAAGACGAGAAAGAGACGCAAAGTAAGCACTTCATGAACATTTAAAAATACAACAGAAAAAAAGAAAACTAATTGATAGCGCGTTTGACCTCCCGCCCTCCGTCATCGCAAAACCGCTTCCTGTCCGGAACGAGCAGAAGAATGGTAAAAATGGCGACAAAAGTCAGAGTCAGAGCCAGAACCAGAACCAGGACAAGACCAAACAGAAGAACAAGAGATCAAAACCGAACACCCTTGCAGATGACACGCCCAAGGCGTTCCAGCGCCTGATGCAGTTCCAGACGAGAGGGAAGCGCCCATCAACAGAAGACACACAGACACAGCCAGGACGGAAGCGAAAGCGGGATGAAGATGGATCGACAACGAAAAAGGCAAAAAAATCGGACCAAAAGCAGACGGCGACACCCACAGAGACGGTCGGGACAGCACAGCCCGCGGCACCCAAGATTCTCCCGGGGGAGAAGCTGTCTGATTTTGCCGCGCGCGTGGACCGCGCCATGCCGTTGTCTAGTATGAAGAAATCAACCACCCCACGCGGCGGCAGCGGCAGCGGTAGCGACGGCCTACCCAAGATCCGCGAGGAGCGCCGCACAAAGCACGAGAAGCACCTGCGTCGACTGCAGAAGCATTGGCGCGAGGAGGAAGCCGAGATCCGGGAGCGCGAGGCCGCCGAGCGAGAAGAGCGAGAAGCCGAGATGGAGGAGGAACTGGGTCTCTGGAAGCAGTGGGAGGCTGAGGCCGGCTCGGGGAAAAAGAGGAAACATAATAAAAACAACAACAACAGTGCTGATGCCGACCCCTGGGCGCAGCTGAAGAGCCGGGATCGCAAGGAGAAAAAGGCGGCTCTCCCCTTTGACGTCGTGCAGGCTCCGCCGCAGCTGACAAAACCGAGGGAGGTGTTCAAGGTCCGCGGCGGGGCCAGAGTCGACGTCGCTAATGTGCCTGTCGCGGCGGGTAGTTTGAGACGCAGAGAAGAGCTGGCGGGCGAGAGGAGGACCGTCGTGGAGCAATACAGACGGCTTATGGCGGAGAAGAGGCAGTAGTTAATACCTAGCAATATATATTTTGGTTGTTCCAGGTAGCTACAATATATTTTCTTAACAACCATTTGTTTATACCATTGAACCTTTTGGACTACAGAATGCATATATACATCTAGACTTTTCGCTGAATAGAACAGAACCGAAGATGGATATTCCATTTTCACTCCTGCAGAGACTTGACGTACTCCGCTGCCCGGGCCTTGATCTCCTCGACCATCTTATCGCTGCCACTTTCGGCGGCGAGCGTCTCCTCGAACGAGAGCCACTTCTTGAAGAAGAACCGCGCCTGTTTGGGCTTGAGTTTCTTGCTCTGCTCCACCGTTGTCACGGCCGCTCCCTTCTTCGACGAGCGGATCCCGAGCACTCGCTCGAACAGACGGCGAACCTGTTCCGCGTCGCCGGCCTTGATCTCCAAGTCCAGCAACACATTCCACAGATCAACTCGCTTGGGGAACGAGGAAAGAAGTCCCTCAAACACCGTTCGGCCACGCTCAGCATCTCCGTTCGCCGACCGGAACTCCAACTGTCCGAATTTCGATGTCGTCTCGACATGCGTATGCGATGGGAGAGACTGAAGGGCACGCGACAACAGCGCGCGGCCGCGATCGGGAGCAGCCATGGTGTCGAAAAGGAAGGTGGCATAGTTGACGAAGAACTTAGGGGACTGGAAGATCTTTTTCTTAAGAGCAGTCTGGAACAGCTCATCCGCTTTCTGTAATAGGCTGTTAGAATCACTGTGTTGCCGAAAGGTCCAATACTCGGGTAAAAAGCTCACCTCATTCTTGCCAGATTGAATGTAGATACTGATCAGCCGCTCGTAGATCTCCTGAGTATCATTATACTGACAGGCCCGCTTGAAGACGTCCTCAAGGGTGTCGTTGTTGCCATATGTATTCTCCAGGTTCAGCAGTGCCACCCACACGTTCAGCTTCTCAGTGTCCTGGCCCATACTGATGGTGCGCAGTGCACGCTCAGCAATTTCACGGGCTTTGTCAGCCTCACCCAGCTCCAGCTGGAATGCCATGTATTGAAGCCACAAGAGGGACGAGTCAGGCTCGCCCAAAAGGAGTCGTTCGTAGTCAGCAATCGACTGCGGACCGTTTGCATCCAACTCGCCCGTTCGATCGACCTGGATTTCTGGCTTGCGGTTCTTCTTCTTCTTCTTCCGCGTACCATCTTCGTCGTCAGAGCCAGACCGGGCCCCTTCGTCATCGTCATTGTGGATGTTTCCGCTCCAGTCGAAACCACCGGCACCAAGGCCCCCTTCCTTCCTGGAAGAAACATCTTCCATCTGAGAATCATCGTCGCTTACTTCGGACTCGCTTCCATCCTCATCTTCCAGATCAACACCGCCCATAGATAGATCATCATCGTCATCATCATTATCAGAGAAGTCGCCCTGAAGTTCAACTCCACCGAAACCGTCGAGGCTCACACCATCATCATCCTCCATATCCAGGTCCTCGTCACTGCTCTCGCCATCCTCTTCGCCAAAGTAAGATGCCTTGAGACCAAATGAGATTCGCTCCTTCTCGCGGTCGATATTGAGAATCTTCGCCTTCACAACGTCACCCTCTTCGTACAACTTCCTGGCATCTTCGACACGGTCCTCAGCCATCTCGCTGCGATGGCAGAGGCCACTGAGATTGGCAGAATTATCAATAAGAATGAATGCACCAAAGTCCTCCACCTTACGGACTTTGCCTGTGACAATTTGACCAGGCTTCAGATCGCGGAGCTGGAGAGGGGTCTTGTAGTTGGGATCCAAAGCAGACTCTTTCAGGGTTAGCTGCAGCTTGTTCTGCTCGGCATCGACAAAAGTGACTCTGCCTTTGACCAGTTGATCCGTCTCAAACCCGTCTTTCCACTCCTTGAGGTAGGAGTCGGAAAGATCAGAGACGCGGACGTAGGCTGTGATGTTATGTCCGACAGTTATGAACAACCCGTTGTCAGCCACCCTTCTGACGAAACCTCGGACGATGTCGTTGACCTTCAATTGCTTGAGCGAAGTGATTTCCCGATCTTGTACCGGAAGGGACGAGCTAAGAACCTTTGAGGGCCGGAGGGAAAGTGAAACCTTCTTGTTGGCGGCGTCAATTCCCACAACGCACGTGCGACGCACCTCATTTTTGTGGAAGGTTCCTGGATCAGATTTGGAATAGTCATCGGCCATGTCGATCAAGTGTACCACACCAACAACTGTGTCACTAAGTTGCATGATGACTTGGCTCTCGGTGACTTTGGTAATCCTTCCAGGAAGGACGCTGCCCACTGAAAGGTCTGCCAGGGAAAGCTTCTCATTGCCCTGTTTCGCGGACAAATCCAACCGCCCCTTCTCGACATCAACGGCAGTAACGTGTACCTTCAATGCAGAGCCAATTGGGAAATGCTTCTCAATGTCGGCAAGGAGGGACAGATCGTCCGCCAGATCCATGAAGCGTAACCTTCCACGGACACTAGGCGACAGGTTGATCCATAGGCAGTCGTCGGCAATGTTGTTGATGAAACCAACCCAAGAAGAACCAACCCGGACTTGTTCCAGATTCAACAGGCTGGGCTCAGATGCTTCAAGGAAACTGGGCTTGATAGACAGCTCGAAGACAGGGTGTTTACCGCTGCGGTGACTGATCGGCAAGAATTTGTGATTACGAGCATCGTGTACGCCGATGATTCTCGCAGAGATGAGCTGTTTCGGGCGGAAAAAGCGCAACGGCTGCTTTCTGTCCTTAATGTCTTCCCACTTGTCATACACTTCCGACACGTCGACACGACCTTGGATGTTGTCGGCAAGTTGCACATTGACCTGAGTTCCCTTGACAGAAAGAATCCTACACTGGACAGTTCTTCCAAATGCCAAATCATCCATCACCTTGATGGTTTCGTCAATAGGGTTTATCAAGGCATCGTTGACCTTGACTGGTTCCTTGGCTGCTTTACGTTCAGAAGGGCCAGCACGGGTAGCTTCCGAGGTCTTCATGCTCAGGATGAACCTGCGGTAATCGGTATCGACTGAGTGGACAGTAGCGGACACCGCTTGGCCCTTGGTCATCCCAAAGTTCAGTGTGTTGATGTTGCCCTCGGGAATGAGACGTTTGGGCACCAGCCCGATGACGCTGCCGAGGAATTCAACAAAAACGCCATCTTGTGTAATGTTTCGGACAAAACCCAAGACCTCGGCACCTTCCTGAACATCTTCGAACTTGCTGGGGACAAGGCCCTGAGTAACAGCCTTCTTGAGACTGGCTCTGCTACTCACCTTGATGAGGCGATGAGCTCTCTGGATATCGAGTACAAGAAGGTCGTTCAGCTTTTGGCCCACGCGGATCTTCGACAAGGTTGAACTCTGCTTAGATGCAGATCCATCGATGACGTGCTGGGAGTCTAAGCGGGCAATCAAACCGGAATCACCGAGTTTGAGAAGCAGGTCATCACTTGACTTCTCAAAAACAGTTCCGGTGACGAGTAACCCGGGGTGGATGCTCTCGAAGGCTTTCTTATACGAGTCAGTGAAGGTCGAGGGATCCTTACAAGACACAGTAAGTCTCCCCAAAGCAACATCGACACTCAAGGCGTGAACGCTGACAACTTGACCCTGTCTGAAATGTTGGGATGGGTCCTTGATATAGGCTTCACTCATCTCTGACACCGGAAGGAAGCCGCGCACAGAGCCGTAGAACTGAACAACGGCACCATGAGGCTGAATGCTGACTAGTGTGCCCGGTGACTGAGCTCCAGGGACAATGTCCTCGTAGTCCTTCCAGATGGCAGATTCGCTGTTAAGCAAGCTCTTCTTCAAGGTCAAGCGGATTTGACGTTTCTCCAAGTTGACGGATAAAATCCTAGCGGTGATTGTCATTCCCTCACGGAACTTCTTCTCGGGGAATTGCAGCAGAGTGTCTGCGAAGTGCATAGATGGAACGAGGCCAGTGATTCCATCGGCCAGCGCCACGATCAGGCCGTCGAGCCCCTTAGCGCCGATAAGAAGCTTCTCAACTTTGCCCTTCACGACGGCGCCGATGGTCACATCCTCCAGACGAAGGAAAGGCTGGTCAATAACCTTTCTCTCGAAGGACAAAAGATACAGGTTGTCAAGCGAATTATAACCGACCACCCTGGCTTCGTGAGAGGACCCAACCCTGAACTTTCCTTCATCGGCAGAGATGCTTTCGACCTTTGTGTCCGAAAGCTTGGACACGTGAACGAAACCAAGGTGGTTGCTTGATCCAACCTGGACGAAGAGACCAAGACCAGGTTCGACTTTGACGACCTTGACTTCAGGGAGAATGGCGGAAATGGCAGGGGCGTCGTCGGAAGAACCAGGACCGCGCGTGGCCGGGGCAAATTTCACAACGTGGTCAAGCATGGAAAAGCCGACCTTGATCGGCTCCGAAGCAGGAAAGGTACAAACCAGGCGACCCTTGATCTTCGCACCGGGATGGAACTTCTTGGTTAGGTCGAATTGTCCCGAGTTTGCGCCGGATTGTACGAGATCGATGGTAGCATCGAGCATGCCCATGATCTTACCGACCATACCGTTTTCCGATACCTCAGTCAGAAGGACTTCAGCGGCAGTGCCAGGAAGGAAGGCATTGATTGTAGGAGCCGTGCTGAGAAAGTGAGACTTCTTGATGGAACCCACGGACGGAAGATTGGCAGACAGCTTGATCACGTTGCCGTTGGCGTTGTGGCCTGTAACTACACAGAGCAAAACGGAACCCTCTTTGATAGAAGAGTAGTCCAATTTCGGGTCAATCTCCTTGGAGGACATGAAACCTTTAAGGTCTGCGTCTTGCATTCCAAGATCCATGATAAGACCATGATCTTCCACGCTGACAACGGACGCCTGGACCACTGCATCAGTCACGAGATCCGATTTCGACAGGCCCGAGTTGGTCTGCCTAGGATCAAGCGAGAGTTCAATGCGCTTTTTGCTCCGTGTGTTTGTGTCGGTCGGGTTGCTTCCAGCGGAAACAACATAGGCGCGCAGGAACTGGCCCAGGTAGAAGTAATTCTTCAGCTCCAGAGCGTCGTCGTCGTCATCTTCATCTTCTTCGTCATCGTCACTCTGGTTCTCTTCATTCAAGAGTTTGTCGATTTTTTCTTCCAGGGTCTTCGAGATCGCCGTCAACGGCACGTAGCCAGTAAGATTGTTGGGCAAGGAGATCCCGATATCGTGGGCGTTGATACTCGACACTTGACCCAAAATCATAGATCCAGGTACGAGGCGCTACATTGTATGAGCTTGATATGTCTGAATTTGCAAAAGATGAGGGCATCGCGACGTACCTTGAAGCTGAGACCTTCAATTCGCACACCTTGCTTCTCCGATGACTGCCGTTCGGAAGACTTCTTGCCTTTTGCCTTCTTCTTGTGGCCTTTTTTTGTGCTCCCAGACGCATCGTCCGCATCGTTCATATCAATATCTTCCTCCTCGTCCTCGTCCTCATCATCGAAATCGCCGCGAGTCTTTTTGGACCCCTTCTGCTCGAAAAGCACATCGCGAGTAGCTTGAATCTGAATCTGCTTCCGTTCCAGCGGTGTCAGCACGCTTCCACCACCTCGAGGGAACGCTGGCTCGTCGTCGCGCAGGACTGAAAGGCCAGACGGCTTCCGAGCGGCATCAGTCTGCTGTCCGTCGGTCTTGCTGTTCTGCTTCTTAGACGCCTTCGCCTGTTCCTCTGCTCCAACGCGAGCCCGCTTCTGCGGCTGACGGGCAGCTGCATCTTCGGCAGTATTGCCCTTTCGCTTGATGGGCGCCATGATTTGGCAATGTTCACCACCCGAGTGTACCTCGAATGCTGTATCAGGCAGGTGCGGGCTCAGAAAAATTAAAATTTTGTCTCGGTCGGGTTAATTATGCCGGCAGTGCCATACCGTGTTTTTCACCGCCCTGCTTACTAGAAGTCACATGACAAATCACATGACTCTCACAGTCAATTTAGCCGTTCTGAGTAAGCTGAAATAGGGTACGGTATTACGCAGTTTCATTGGACGAGCTGCCGGAGCATTCTTAATACCCGTTCACGTGATTGGCCACAAGGCGACTATAAGTATACTGCCAAAGCGGTAAGCAATACTAGCAAATCAGCTCGTGTAAATATGGTAATTACCTTCCACTCTAATGGAATGGAGGCTCGCGTCACGAAGGAGGCACGACACGAGACTCGTTTCTGGTCGTTTTTTGAGCGCGACGTGAGCATGTCTCGCCCCTCTCCACCGTAATGCTGGATCTGCCTGCTTTTCTGTTGCGAACCCTACCTCCATTCATCCATTCATTTATTCATGTAGAGTTTGTGTTTTCCCTTTTTCCTTTCTCCGCCGTATAATGGACCGCAGTCATGGCCTTCCTCCCGTACCCCGGTCTGAGCCTGTTTTCCCACCCTCGTCGCAAGAGATACCTTCCTCGCCGCCCTCAATAGCGTCCGATGCTGGCATCCGACGCAAACAAAGGAAGCCTCCCCCGGTCACGCCACGGTCATTCAGGCGTTTCTTCACGCCTCGTTCTATGCTCAATGGCGTTGGAGCCGATGAGAGTGTTAAGACGAATCGTCAAGCATTGAAAACCCTAAGCTCGCCGGCTATTAATCGTCTCGGGCCCGCGTTTACCAAAACAGCAAAATTTACCAGCAGCAGGGTGGTTGAACATGACGTGTCAGGTCCTCCCAAGACGCCAAGCAGGAAGAGAAAACATTCGTTTTCGTCGGTCGCCTCCCCACTGCAGTCGTCGCCATTGAGGAAAGTTCGCATCCGGGCACCAATACATGATGACAGGGAGTTGGATGTGCCCGTTCGAGATCTGGGGGTCGATTGCAAGTCACAGCCTGAGGTCAGGCAATGGAACAGCCCTTCAAAGCCTTTGCACCCTGTGCCGCTTATCCGTCGGTCTGCTGCGTTGCAGACTTCGGGGAATCTTTACATGCGTAGCGTAATGGGATCCATGATGCGCCGAACTACGATACGCTCGAACTCTGGCACCGGTATGCTGCGTACGATAATATACTCTCAATTACGTTTTCTGACTCGTGTCTAGGGTGGCAGGACTTGACATCCAACTTCTATTCTCGCCCAGAAGACAGTCATTCTTGCACGAGCCAGTCAGGGGACCGTCTTGCCCTGCCATTCTGCACTGCGTCATGCAATAGTGAGGCTCCAAAGACTTCAAGTTTACTGTTCTTTGGGTTGTATTGTCTAATTAATCAAAACAGCCAACTCGCTTGTCGCGGTAGGAGACGAAGAAGGGGGAATTCGGTTGCTGGACTCGTCGAAGGATGACAAGAGCGGATTTTCTAAAGCATACCTCTCTTTTCGGCCTCACAAGAACGCTCTCATGGATCTCGAATTTTCTTCTGATGACATGTTACTGGCTACTGCCTCGGGGGATCAAACCGCGTTGGTGATCGACATGGCTACGCAAACACCGATATACTGTCTAGCAAACCATGCCTCCTCTGTCAAACGAGTCCAGTTCCAGCCTGCTTCCAATGATAAGGTTCTGGCAACTTGTAGCCGCGACGGCAACGTCAACATCTGGGATCTGAGATGCAAGGGGTTTGAGAAGCCTGCCCTGCAGGTTCGGTGCTCACTTGAATCTGAGTCTGAGGACGCCTTAGACGTGATGCCTTCCAAGATGATATACCCCCAGGTTTTGAATACCATCTACGGAGCCCATGCATGGGGGCTACCCCAGACGGCAGCGGTCGATAGATCGGAGCCTCAGATTGGTCGCTCCGATATCACAGTGACTTCTCTCAGCTTCCTACACCCAGGGCGAGAGAATCTGTTTGTTACTGCATCGGAATCCAGTGCCTGTATCAGACTGTGGGATATGCGGACCGCACACAGTAGTCGCCGCAACCGACCGGTGCTCCCTCTTTCCACGACTCGAGAGCCAGAAAGCCACTTGAAATATCGTCGTTTTGGACTTACATCTATGGCGCTTAGCGGTGACGCCTCGCGGCTATATACGTCTTGTCGGGACGGCACTGTCTACGCCTATTCCACCTCCCACTTGATCCTCGGAAATGCCCCAGAACTATCACTAAACAATACTCGTCCTCGGTGGTCTGGCGGATCCGACAAGGAAGGTCTGGGGCCGCTGTACGGATTTCGCCATCCTCGGCTGCGAATCACTTCCTTCTACGTTAAGCTTGCGGTTCGAAAAGCAGCGGGAGACAGGGCCGAAATGCTAGCTGTCGGAAGCACCGACCACTGTGCAGTCCTTTTCCCGACGGATGAGAGACTCCTCCACTCTTCTGTCTCGAAACCATCGGTCGATGAGGATGCGACGACCCCCGCCCTCCCTAGACTACGAGCCCCTCTCCGGCGCACCAACTCTGGAATCGGTGCTTCCGGCCGCCTCGAGGACACCATCCCGATTTTCCAGTCGGGCACGGCCTTAGTCGAAGGCCACCAGAAGGAGGTCTCGTCCGTGTCGTGGACGAATGATGGAGAGCTCATCACCGTCAGCGACGACTACAGCGCTCGATGTTGGCGCGAAGGACCCGACGCAAGAGATCTCCGTTCCGGCGGAGAGGCCGAAGGTCGACGCTGGCTTTGCGGCTGGGCAGATACGAAGGACTCCTACGATGACGAGGATGACTGATTTTTCTTCCCCCCCTTTTTTTTCTCTTTTTCTTATCATATTGTTTTCTGCATTATGCATTCCAAGGTGTCTGGGCATGTTATCTAGCGAATATTTCTTTTTTCTTGTATGAGGTTTACTTTGATTGTATTTACATAGCGACGAGCATAGCATGCATAGCAAGAGTCTTTTTTTTTTTTTTTACAGAGATCATCTATCTTATTGCATTCACTATGCCTCTCTCAAATCTGAACATATAGTTAGATCCTAAATATATGTTCGAATATTTTCATTGCATTATATGCTGCACTTCCCGACTCTAATAGATACTTGAACAAAAAAGGTCCCAAGCTATAGAGAGAGAGAGAGAGAGATTGCTTTTAGTGACCGTGTCCATCATCCTCCTGTCTCTCGGGGTCAAGCTTGATCATCGTATCGATACGCATGATGGCTATGCAGGCCTCGACAGCACTCTTGAGCTGCTTGATTTTGCTCATGCTGGGCTCCAAGACGCCAGCCTTGAGAGAGTCGTGGACTTTACCCTTGGACAGGTCCAGGCCGTAGTTGCGGTATGTCTTCTTCTTGGCGATCGCCTTTTCATCCTCCTTGGCGCCCTCCTCCTGCGCACGCTGGGAGAGGGCGTGGCGCACGCGGAGCATGGCCACAAGTTCGGAGGAGTCCTTGGCGGCATTGACAGCCAGGGTCTTGGGGATGATGAGGAGAGATTGCGCAAATTCTCCAATGGCCAGTTGCTCGCGGGAGCCCTAGAATTACATTAGTAAAGGTGGCTCGCTTTGACTTGACTCAAGGATGTACTACTACTTACCACTGTCACGGCGAATTCTTCCAGGTAGATGTGAAGGGCAGTCTCGACAGCGCCACCTCCCGGAACAATGCTTCCACTCTCCAAGGTACGCTTGACGGCACACAGCGAGTCGTGAACAGAGCGTTCCATCTCGTCCAAGCTGAAGTCATTAGGTCCCCGAAGGATGATCGAAGCTGATGTATGGACCTTGGTGCCCTTCACAAGGATGCACTCATCATCTGATATCCGCTCCTGCACAACCTCCTCGGCATATCCCAAATACGATGTTTCGAACTTTTCGTCTCCATTCAGATCGGAAAGCGTGCTCACAAGAGTAGCACCGGTAGCCTTAGCTATCCGTCTCAGGTCCTCCTTCTTGCATCTCCGCACCGCCATGGCACCTCGCTCGACAAAGAGCTTAAGGACCATATCATCGATACCCTTGGTGGTCAAAATAACATTTGCACCAGACTTGAGGATCATTTCCACACGCTCGATAACGATCCCTGATTCTCTCTCACGAATCTTTTCCAGCTGCTCGGGGTCGTCGATTGTGATCTGAACGCCCAGCTTCATTCTCTCCTTCTGTAGGTTCATGTCAAGGCAAGCAATTTTCGCGTCCGTGATGCGGGTCTTCATGGCCTGGGAGGCAACGGTGCAGTTCAAGGCATAGCCCTTGACGAGCATCGACTCGGTACCACTCTTGCCATGGGCCTTGAGCAGGTTGACTGCCTTAACGGGGTATTTGACCTCATTCTTCTGGTTCGTCGTCTTCACCAGAAGCATTGCGTCCACAACCAAGTTGGCATAGAAGTCGGCATCGGCACCGATGATCTTGCTCGACATCGACGTCTTCGCGATATTGATCAGGCTATCCTTTCCGAGATTCTCGACCTTGGAAGCAATGTTCTCATTCATATACTTGACTGCTTCTCTGAGGGCCAATCTGTAACCGGTGATGATGGTCGTAGGGTGGATCCGGTTCTTCATAAGCTCATTGGCACGGCGCAGGAGTTCGGCAGCAATGAGCACGACGGAAGTGGTGCCATCTCCAACCTAGCACAGTTTCAGCACAGATATTCCTTGAGACAAAAAAACACCTTGGGAGCTCGAGGAACGCCCCACCTCTTTATCCTGCTGTTGGGCCAAATCCACCAAAATCTTGCCGGCAGGATGCTCGATATCCAAAAGACTCAGGATCGTCGCTCCATCGTTAGTCACGGTCACATCCTATGACTGATCAGCACGCTGTAGAGCCTCGACACGTATATATATTCAGATCAGGACGTACTCCAATGTCATCCACCATCATCTTGTCGAGACCCGAGGGGCCGAAAGAGCTCTTGACAACATTCGCAATAGCCTGCGTCGCGAGTACTAAACGAAGTTTTGAGCATCAAACCAGCTGATTTGGTATTCTGGTCCTACATACCGTTTTGCTCCCGAACATCAGCGCCGGTGATTTTCTGCCCACCCAAGACTGTGCGCCTTCGTCAGCGGACTCACGTCCCGATGCTCAAAACTCCAGGCGACACTTACACAGAGTACCCGCGTTCCGCGGTTGCTCGAAGATACCGGACATCGTGATCTGACGAAATCAAAGAGAAGAGGGACAGCAGTGAAGAGAGAGAGGACCACAGCTTCCCAACCGACTGCTGATCCCCAGGAGACTGCTTGGGCCCGTGGTTGCGCTAAAAGTTCTGCCGGGCCCGAGGCGGTGAACTTTTTCGAGATACATCCCACTTTGACGAGGGGAAGCGAGCTTTTGAGTCACCGTCAGGAACAAGCCATCTGCCTTCCTCTCTCAACTCTCTGTTCCGCGTGACTGATTTTCTCTGCACGGAGAATTTTCGAAATGGCCGACCAGAACACCGCCGCTGATGCGGCCGTCTCTGACGCTGCTGCTTCCCAGGCCCTTCCTGACCGTACTACAAACCCCGCCGATAAGGACGCTCCCCAGGGCGAAGTTTCGAAAAACGCGGCCAAGAAGGCTGCAAAGATGGCTAAACAGGCCGCCGACAAGGCAGAGAAGGCTGCGAACAAGGGGATTGGGAAGGCGGAGGCGAAGAAGCCCACCTCCAAGGCCGCACAAAAGCCCAAGAACAAGAAGATTGATGGTGCTGCATTGATTGGTATTGATGTCTCGAAGGAGGAAGATTTCCCTGGGTGGTACCAGCAGGTGCTTACCAAGGGTGATATGCTGGACTACTACGATGTCTCTGGTTGCTTCATTCTGAAGGTAGGGCTGCTCTTTTTCTTTTGAACTGAGGGGTATTATGGAAATAACTCACGTGCTCTATATAGCCCGCTTCGTACTTCATCTGGGAAGAAATCCAGCAGTGGTTCAACACGCATATCAAGAAGATGGGTGTGAAGAACTGCTCTTTCCCTCTCTTTGTATCCGAGGATGTTTTGAACCGGGAGAAGGATCATATCGAGGGTTTTGCTGCCGAGGTTGCCTGGGTCACTCATGCGTATGCCAAACAAACCTACTGCCAGATTTATTGCTTCCTCCGATGACTGACGGTATGCAGAGGCTCGAGCAAGCTCGATAAGAAGATTGCCATTCGCCCTACCTCCGAGACTGTCATGTATCCATACTACGCCAAATGGATCCGCAGTCACCGCGACCTGCCCCTGAAGCTCAACCAGTGGAACTCGGTCGTCCGGTGGGAGTTCAAGCACCCCCAGCCTTTCCTGCGGACCCGCGAGTTCTTATGGCAAGAGGGACATACTGCTCACTTGACTGAGGAGGCCGCGCGCGAGGAGGTTCTGCAGATTCTGGACCTGTACGCTCGTGTCTACGAGGAGCTCCTGGCCGTTCCGGTCGTCAAGGGCCAGAAGACCGAGAAGGAAAAGTTTGCCGGTGGTCTGTACACCACCACCGTCGAGGGCTATATCCCTGCCACGGGCCGTGGTATCCAGGGAGGTACGTCTCACGGTCTTGGACAGAACTTCAGTAAGATGTTCAACATCACTGTCGAGGATCCCTCGGTCAAGGGTGATGAGAAGAAGGCTCCTCTGCACGTCTGGCAAAATTCATGGGGTCTCTCCACCCGTACCCTGGGTGTCATGGTCATGATCCACAGTGACAACCACGGTCTTGTGCTCCCCCCCCCCGTTGCCGAGATCCAGACCATCATCGTCCCGGTGGGTATCACGGCCAAGACCACCGATGAAGAGCGCGACAAGCTCTACGCCCGGATTGACGAGCTTGTCACCATGCTCCGTGACGCGGATATCCGAGTCGAGAGCGACCTGCGTGACGGGTACTCTCCTGGCTGGAAGTTCAACCAGTGGGAGCTCCGCGGTGTGCCTCTTCGCATTGAATTCGGACCGGGCGAGTCGACCGGCAACTACGTCACTGCTGCCCGGCGCGACATCCCCGGCAAGGAGGGCAAGTCGACGATCGACATTCCCGAGCTGGCGACCGGGGTGCGCACCCTGCTGGACACGATCTACCAGGATATGTTCAAGCGGGCGGAGGAGAAGTTCCGCTCCCACCGCAAGCTGATCACCAACTGGGATGACTTCTGCCCGGCCCTCAACGACAAGAACATCTGCGTGATCCCGCACTGCCTGACGGAAGAGTGCGAGGACCAGATCAAGGAGCTGAGCGCCCGCAAGGCCGAGGAAGACTCGGACGAGCCCGAGGACGCCCGCGCCCCGAGCATGGGCGCCAAGTCGCTCTGCATTCCCTTCGAGCAGCCTGAGGGTATCGAGCCCGGAGTCACCAAGTGTGTTAACCCGCAGTGCACCCGGCTTGCGGAGAAATGGTGCATGTTTGGCCGTGAGTTTCCCCTATCACTCCTTATAATCTACTTTACTAATAAATAATGAATAGGTTCGTATTAGAGGAAATTGAGAGCAAGGGGGTCATGACGAGGCATGATTTGATGTATAGCAAGTCTGGAGTTAGATGTGAAGTAGTTCAAGCTAGCAACAACTGTTAGTTCATAGTAAAAGTATCCACGATACTATTTCTCGTATGGCTTATACTACACTATACACTATACACAATACACGACTCTACTGAAGCCCTGCTACTCACTCTCGAGGTGATTATTTTATGATACTTATACATCAATTGGACAGGGTATTCATGCAATGTACAAACAATAAGAAATTTGCATAGCAGTAGGTAGCGAAGGTAGCTTAAAAAAAAAGAAAAACTTAGTGAAGGGAGTATAGTATATTAAACATCGACGCTTTCCACCTGGACGATAGGGGGAGCGATCATAGGCCCCGCGGGAGTCTGTTTCAGTTTGAACGGCGCGACAATAGACGACGAGGTATGTGCGCGCATACGGTAGACGGAGCGTGGTTTGGTAGTGGTAGTGGTAGTGGTGGTGGTGGTGTCAGCCCGGCGGGCAGAGTGCGAGGTGCCCGGTTTGGGAGGGAGAGAAGTGGTCGTCTTGTTGCTGGATCTTCCGATTAAATCCATATAAGTGACTCCATCCCCTGTAGGACCTTGAGTCATACTCTCCAGAAAACCAGGAGAAGGGGGGAGGGCCTCTGAATGGCGGCGACGGCGGTGACCAGTCCACTCAGGGACGGCGCCGGAGAGACTTCTGCGAAATACGGAGTCTGGGTTTCTTGTTCGGCGCAGGAGTCGAGAGAATTGACCTTCCCTGGCGGACACACTGCGGCCTAGTCCTGTCCCCGTGGCAGATGATGATGATGGACGCTGAGCCAGCGATGGGGTGAAGAGGGGACCTGGAGCCGGAATAGGCACCTGGCGGAAGGCCTCGTGCGAGTTGATCTCGCGGATGATGGCGTCCTGCAGGGTCTCGAAGCTTGGGTTCGGGGTTGTCGCCTGGATGGACAGGTAGGCTTGTTTGAACATGTCCATGATCTCGGCGGCGTTGTAGTTGGTTGGCGACAGCGGCGGTTGCGGTAGGGTCGTTGCCGTCGGGCTTGCCGCGAGGGGCAGCGGGCTGTTGACCACCTCTGCAATGCTGGGGTTGCGTTTCGGCTTTGGGAGCAGGGTGCTGGCCCGGTGGGAGATGGAGTGGCCTGGTTTGGGGAAGGCAGCTAGCTCGGTGTTGATGGAGAGGTCGCGCGGGTTCTTCTTGACGGCCGCCTTGCGCGAGTCCGAGGAGGACGAGTTTCGGTACAGCAGCTTGTCGTCGTCGCTCAGATGCTTCCTGCGGCTGGTGGGCACCGGCTGCCGCGACATCAGGATGGGGAGCGTCGGACTGTCGGGCAACGGGACGTTGCTCAACATGTCGCCCTGCTTGTATGCGGGAGGTACACCCAGATGGTTTGACGAGGCGGACGGTGATGGAGTGGGTTGGTCTCTCATGGACGAATCGTCCACCAACAGACTGGGAGCCGATCTTTGCTGGCGTAGGGGAGGTCTGCTGCCCACTTGCAAGGAACCTTTGGGAGACGCCGATTCTCCTCCACTGTCGCTTCCACCACGGGGGGACTGAGATCTCGCCCGGAGATTCTCCTTTGAGACATTGAGAGACTTTGCCAGGCGGGCGGTCCGTCTCCGAGACACTCGTCGCTGGCTGCTCTGGTCATCGCCGCCGGAGGGTGAGAGCGAGGTGACCCCCGTGGCGGTAGACGAGGGACGGGAGCTGGCGGGGGACCAGGAGGCCGGACCAACGCTGTTGGCGCTGTTACGGGCAATGTTGCGGTCTGCCACGTCCTCCTGGTACAGCGAGGAGAGGAGACGCGAGTAGGCCTTGCTCTTGTACTGCTGGCCGCGCAGGAAGCGGACCATGTTCCGCTCCGCGATGTCCTCGTTAAAGGGAGTGGTTGGAGAGATGGTCTTGTTGCGGATGCGGTAGCGGTGGGAGGAGAAGAGGGCGTCGAGCAGATCGACATGGCGACTGGGGGGAGGCGAGAAGGAGGTGGGCGTCAGGATGGTGGTCTGGGAGTAGGTCGAGACCGGGCGGGAACGAAAATGATCGTGGAGCTCTTGGAACTGGCGCTCAATATTCTCGAAGTGCTGCTCGACGTCGAGAGTACGCTCGTGCGGAAGATCCTGTTCGCAAAATGAGGGGGACGCCTCAGGGGACAAGGTAGGCGTTCTGTCTGGTACCGTCTGCCAGGGTTCTCCATCTTTGATGCCATCGCCAGGGCCATCGCCAGGAGCCGCAAAGGCGTCTTTATCTGCCTTGAAGAAGTTCTTCAAGGCAACCATAGTGTTACAGAATAAGATAGAGAGATAAAGAGAGATAAAGCGAGATAAAGAGAGATAGAATGAGAGACGGAGAGAATGAGAGACAGAGAGACAGAGAAAGATCGTATCACATCACATTAGGCTCATAGAGCATACAGCATCTTGACAGACACACAGAGAAAGACCAGACCGAGGATTCCGGCGCAGGGCAGGATTAAGACTGGATGAAAAGCCCAGGCTGACGACTCGGGACTGGCCAGGATCCTGATGGAGGCAATTTCACGGCATTCATAAGCTGCCGTTCTGCTGGGTCAGGGGCGGGCCGTGACAGACGGGGCAGGCTCTGTATAGCCTAGCACCTAACTATGTAGTACTTAGAACTTGAAGCGTATCAGTATCTACAAGCTATGTAGAAAACAGTTAGTTGCTAGAGTACAAGTCTACACTTGCAATTTATTAAATTTACAATGGACAGTGCAGCAAATACTGCCTCTAGATATGTAGTGATTATTGTTTTCTCCCCTATAACTATCCATACCAACTGCTCTTTCTCCCTCTAGACGAACAGTGGAAATTGCATGTCGAGCTTTGACCTGGTTGGGAAACAAGCTAACCAGGCCAGGCTGTGATTGGTCTGTTTCAGGTGCTGATCGCCGCCGAACCACGAATCGGTTGGCTGTTCGACGCACGCGCTAACGGGATATAGACTAGTGCGCTCGTTTTCGAGGATGAGGAAGGAGCGTTCGACAAAATAAGAATAAGAATAAGAGATTATTGACAGACAATCGAAAAGACAATACAAAAGACAATACAAAATAGGTATTACTATGTAGTACATGGTAATACTGGCATTGCCACACCTTTATATCTCGTACTTTAATACAAACTAACTCTTACTTTAAAATACCTACTCTCAGCCCACCTTAATAGTCTCTACTATGATCATCACGATCTCATCTCTTTCATCTCATCCCCAAAAATAGCAGAATAACTAATCCCACTCCGGATCGAGTATCGATTAACACCCCTGAGTGTGCGGGTCTGGTGAGAACCAGACACTAACCGTAGAACTAAGTAGAACTAAACACTAGGTAACTAATTAGATACTAACGGGACGTTAGGGAGCACCTGCCAACCGCCCCAGATGATCGGCGCAGAAAGGGGCAGGACGTGGACTGTGAGGTCGTGTCTATCACTGTCACTGTCACCTAATTTCTTATTACCTAGTATCTATCTAAGTACCTGACAGCCAACTCATCTATTATGAGGTTAGGTACCTGTAAATAGGTATCTATACGAAGCAGTGACAGGAAATCACCTAATCAATCTACAGCACGTGCCACGAACTGCTGTCCCCCGATCTGGTTAGTGGTATTTGGTATTAAAGAGACGAACTGTTGTAAATTAAATAATTCTAGTTATTAGTTACAGTATTTAATATTATGATAGGTTATTACTAGATGTGTATGAGAGTACTCGCTGTACTCCGTATCTCGAGTCTAAATGAATGCTACCTGTACAGAGATACTACTTCAAGTCTTGCGAGTCCCTAGGTCTACGATGACTACGTACGCTACCCACACGATCCCCGTTCATTACAAATAACGAGAACTGGAGATGAACCCAAGACCCCATCCGGAACAACCTCCGTCCAGCAGCTTTTGCCCTGATCGAGCCATTCCTCCGCTTCACCGATGGGTCCATACGAGAGAACTAGTAACAGAGTATACGGAGTACATAGGAAGACTACAGTGCTGTATACTTATAGTATAGTTACTAAGTAGTATAAACATAAGTATCTAGGCATCAAGAGTCAGTGAATGAATTTAATAGCATGTAATATCATCAATTGCGCTTAACATCGTGTCAAGACAGCAGTTGACTATCTCTCGAAATGAGTCTTAAAAGAGTCTTGAAGATCTTAAATGAGTCTTTAAACGTCCCCAAAAGTCTTAAAGAGTTTTCAAAAGTCTTAAAGAATCTTCGTATCGCTGATCGTCATGTTCAGTCATCCTCGCTGCCGGCCCCGCTGGCCTCGCCGCCGCGGTCCGTCTGCACCAACACAACGGCTTCCGCCCGGTTGTCTACGAGATCCGCCCACACTCACGGGCGTTGAGCTCTCCAAAGCCGTGCTCTACTCGACCTCGCGGTGCCACCCTGGGCGAGATCGATCTCGGGGAGTCTGATCGAAAGAACACACCGGCTTTAGCGCCGTGCAGATCTCACCGACTGTCTCCTCCACGCCGTAGGGAACGAGAGAAATCCCCCCATTCACCGCGAGAAGGAACTCGGCGAGTTTTCACTCTTCTGTCTAGGAATATCAGGGCGTCTCCATAGCATGAGAAGATATATTCTTGTTATCTAGAGGGCTTGGGGTTAAGTTTCCAAGATATGATATTGAGGAAGATTTAGAAAGGGAGACTTGATCGCAGACTAGAATGATAACTGGATTTCCCTCTCAACTATTTAATAAAAAAGATACTCTTTTGAGATCCTTTCTCTTCGAGCAACTACTCCATTGTCTTGCGCTTCTTGCCTTTCGGCTCCTTCTTCCCTCCATCGCCGTTATCACCGCCGTCATCGCCATCCTTATTCTCGCCGGACTTTTCATCACTCTTGGAAGCGTCCACAGTCTTTGCGCCTCCCTTCTCAAGCTCCATCTTGATCCGTTCCTTGAGTCGGACGTACCGCTTCCGAGCGGCGGGGACGTTGCATCCCAAGACGCCCGCAACAGCGGCAATATCGACCTAGAAAGAATGAGAAATTGGCTGATAGGCTTATGTAACTGTAACTGTGTGGAAAAGTTTACCTGTTTGTTGTCCACGGTTTGGAGGCAGTGGTAGAGGAATATATGGTTGGCGTCTATTTCGGGCATTTTGGTAGAAGTGCAAGTAGATTTAGAGTAAGAGTTGAGTTGAGTTAGAGGCAAGTATGTTGTAGAGAGTTAAGCTGAGGTTAGAGTCAGAGTCAACTTGTGGTGTAGAGAGAGTTGAGTTGAGAGTCGAGAGTTGAGGGGGAGGAGAGAGTCAAGTTATGGTGTAGATAGAGGAGAATTGAGTCGGGGGAAAGAAGAAGACTGAGAAGAGGAAGGAGAGGGAGGAGAATAAACTAAAGTAAATTCTAGAGTCACTCTGTGAATACGACTTAGTTCGTTACTGATAATCCCTCTCTCACTGCCTCTGCAAGCACACCATGTGCCCCCCGCGCAGCGTCAACGGCCCCGTCGATGAGTCCCTCATGGCTGCCGCCGCTGTCTCCCTTGAGCCAGAGCTCTGTGATCTCGTCCCGAGCAGGCATATACGCCACGACACACGCCGAACCAATCGACCGATGCTCTGCAGGATCAGTATCGAGCATCAGCTTGCGACCTCGCGGCTCCTCCCCTCCTTTCTCTTCCTCTTCCTCGGCGTAAACCATCGCCGCGACACCCCCCGCAACAAGATCCAGACAGTCGATGCGCGCGTCCGCAATCGCCGCAGACGCAGCGGTGATGCACCCGGCCAGCACGTTCATCATCCCCCACGAGGCATCGTGTGCGTCCGGTGCATCTCCGTACCACCGGTCGTCCTCCGCCTCAAGTATCGTGACCGTGATCTCCAGCGCGCTCTTCGGCCACCGCTCGGCGATGATTGCACCCCGCAGCGCCGTCTCCAGGTGCACGCCGAGATCGCGCTCACTAGCATCTCGGATGTGGCCCTTTCGCTGACGGGCCGCAAAGGGCGCATACTTGACATGAGTCGTCAGCACAAGGTTTGGCGAGTAGGCCGCAGAGCGTGGCAGCGGTTTCGGTCCGTGTACGGTGCACGTCAGCTTCAATGCGGACGACGGTGGGATCAGTGAGGTGGGCGTTGCGCGGGCAGCCGCCAGGGATGCTGAGGGCTCGAATTCCAGATACGCTGACCCAGATGCCGAGGGGATCAAGCCGGTTTTTAAAACTAGATGATTCACTCGTTAACACCAGAATCACCTCCAAACCAACCAATCTCGTCTCTTCTCAACTCACATAATTTCCGGAGCTCAGTCGGCTGCCTCTGGCGCACCGGTCTGACTGCAGGCCTGTCAGCGCCGGCAGCAAAGACCGGCGGCCGTGTGCCGCTAGGCGGACCATTGATTCTTCGTCTGTCAGTCATTACACATATCTTGCAGCGCTGCCAAGATGAGATGCTCACCCAGAGGAGTCGTCGAGGATGCTGTCGGTGGTACAATTTTTGTTTGCAGTGTTTGCACCGCGGTGGAGCTAGCGGGACGCACTTTTTTTTTCTTCTCTTTTGCTTTTAAACTTCTTTTTCCTCTCTCTCCTTCTTTTCTTCCTCCTCCATCCACCGGTTTTTATGATGAACCGATCAAAATTCTGATTCCGAGTCAACCCATTTGTCTGGTTACTAACTTATGTGAGTACTATCATATCCATTCCATCAGTTTTAAGGAGGAAAACGAACCAAAACTCTGTTCCGGCGACCAAAAAATGGGCCATTGAACAACATGCACTACCATCTGAAAATTCATCATTATACATATTCTATTGATATTATGTCTCTATATATACTGACTTGTATATCTAGGTAGATAGGATGTTTATTTATCGACTCAACTAACGATTTTGGTGAGTGTTACCATCTCAATTTCTTCCTTCCCATCATGATGAGACACTATTTTTTTCAGTTCTGCTTCTGCAAATTTCTTGAAGAAAACCAAATACCTTACCAAAAACTCCTGATATGATTCTCTCACAATCTTTACTCGCTACAATTGCTTTTGTTATGCGATGCTAACGTCGAGAAGTAGCAACAGTAGTTTCAAGTACGTCTCGTGCTGTCCGAATTCTAAATCTTCAGTCATGGTAAGGAATATTTCTCTCTCTATCTTGCAGCACTCTTTTCATGATGACAACAAGTCAATCCATTCAATGATCTCTTTGAGAACCGCCCCTCGGGCCTGCTTTCCTACTGCTCCCGCAATCTCTGTACCCCTATATATCCTCCTCCCTGATACCGGACTAGGCGTTCTTTCTTCCTTGGAAGAAGTGAATGCATGGGACGATGGTTGTGGAGATCTGGCTTGGGGTCTGATTGTTACGCGGTGGTGATCTGCTCCGTCTGACTTGTGTCGATTTCTTACTGCGAGCTCGTTGTCCGTCTTGGATGCCTTGTTTGTGGATAGAAGCCGGCAGGGGATGGGATGAATTAAACGGCTTGGCTGATCTATATCCTTTGCCATCACGTATTGTCAGGCTTTTTTTAAATTTCGTTGCTGACTTACCTAGTTTATCTTCCAGGCCGAAAATAGTCATTAGTTAGTTTGAAATTTAGTAAAATGAAATGAAATGAATAGCAGGCTCATATTCTTCTTTCTATAAAGTCTACCTAAATATATACAGTAAGGTAATACTGTCGTTTTATAACTAATTTCAACTCAAAAGGAAGTCAATCCTTGCCAGACACTGGAGTCGTGGTGCCATTCGACTTGGACATGCTGTAGGGAGCCTGCTCATGTTAGTAAAATGCTTCACATAGCCATCCTGTAAGAACCACACATACCAAGACTTTCTTTGCGTTGCAGATTCTCCAGGCAAGGTTGCGCACGTTACCATCGGCGCGGACGACTTCGGGAGCCAACTCGATTCCGAACCTGTATTGTTAGATCAAATCAGACCTAGATCATGTATAGATTCGAAATAAAAAGGGAGGAAGGAATACATACATCTGGTGCACGGCGAAGACCACACGCTTGGCATATTTCCCGTCGCGGTCGACCAGACTGCCAAATTGCTCCTCGAGGGATTCCGGAGCGATCTCCGGGTCGCGGTCGAAACAGTGGCGGACGACGGGGAGGAGGGCGGTCTCAGCGGAGGCGAGGACGGTGGTGAAATCGTCGGTGGCTAGAGCTTCCTCCTCGAAGCGGGAGATGCGGATCTCAAAGGGCCGCGAGATTGCCATCACGTTGTGTTTGCCGTTGTGGTGGTAGCGGAGCTCGAAAGTGCCCTGGGTCCAGAAGAGCTTGTCGCCCGAGAAGATAATCTCGCCGGAGGCAACGTCGTGGGTGGTCTCGCCGTCACTGCGTGCAGAGCCTGGAACCACGATGTCGCTGGTGATGATGCCCTTCTCGCAGGTCAGATTGTCGTAGGAGCCCTCGTTGACGGCGACCCAGCGGCCCTGCGACGAGACGCGCGACACCTCGCGCGAGGTGTTGTCCGTCACGCGGTACAAGCCGATCCAGTCCTTCTTGCTGTGGTTGAGAGGGGCGGTCCAGTGGACCTTGATCGGGGCCCCATACTCGAACACCAGATTCTTCAGATCGCCGCGTCGGTCGAGGGGCTTCCGGGCGTTGATTCCCTCGCGGCCTGTCCCTTGGTCGGTTTGGTCTTCGTGCGCCAGCGTGGATCCTTGCACGTCGAGCGAGTAGTCGTGGAGGTCGTATCCGGCCACATCGGCGTCGATGCGAGAGATGGTCACCCGGGCGGGATACTTGTGGAACAGGGCGGAGGTGTCTTTGACGAACGTGTTGACCCCGGCGGCGAGCTTAGGCCGAGCGCTCTCAAGGAGGTCTTCTACAAAGTCGAACGAATCGTCAAACATCTTGTCCACGCTGCCGTGCAGCTGCTTGAGAGACGGGGGCAGAGACCGCTTGATGCTCTTGACCAGACCGGCATCCTGACGCAGGCTCCGGCCGTACAGCTTCTGCATGTGAGGCCGCTCCACGAACTGGATAAACGCCAGACTAAGAATGTGGCTGATGATGGCAAGGAAGGTGACGGCACCGCTACTGGTGATTAGGACCGCGCCCCAAACACCCGCCAGCCCCAGCACCCGCTCCGGGTTGTTCAGGAAGCGGTAGATGCCGTTGTAGGTCAGCTTGGAGGAGCCGTCGAAAAAGAAGTCGCCGTAGAACCAGCCAAATTCGCCTAGGGATTCATATATGCTCATGGAAGTCCAAATCTGCAGGCCAATCAGGCCGACGCCAATCACATGGCGGAGCAAGACTAGGCCGTAGCCCCAGTCTGCCGGGAGAGTGTACATCTTCCAGACGGCAGCAATAAAGCTAGCATAACACATGACCATGCTCAGGTGATACGTGCCTTTCCACTGTTTCCAGGCTTCGTGGGGATCTTCGCCAAACTTGACGAAATGCCGAGTCCAGCTTTTGGAGGTTGACTGGCAGGTCAAGATGTATCCGATTCCAACCGAGTACCAGATGCGCCAGAGCGTGGCATTCACCACGAAGACGAATTGATACCACGGAGTGGAGGGAGTCAAGGCCGTAACCATGAATACGAGCAGCTGGATGAGCAGGACCGATGAATCGGTGATTCTGTGCAGATCCGTATTGTGCAAGCCCAGGAGGTTGTGCACCGATAGCGGTGGCTGGCTTGAGTACGTAGTCGCATTGGGAGCTTGATCATCGCCATTTCCAGGAGGCGGAGGTGTCCCTGGCTCTTGGGACGACGCTACAGAGGCCGGGTCTTGTTCACCCACAGGGACCCGTTTGCGAGGCGGCGGCGCATTGTAAGTCTTGTCGATGTGGGGGTTTTCGACAAAGACCAAGAAGGCAAATTGTGCTGCATGGGCGAGGATAGAGATGAACAGGACTTTGTAGCTCGCTGCCATCAATGAAATACCATAGTAGCCAGCGTAGCCGACAGAATACATGGGATGCGGGGCCATCTCGAAGACGCCATCGAAGGTCAACTCCTGGTCGATCAGGAAGAAGAAGTCGCCCCAGTACCAGGCATAGTCTTTAACTACTCGGTGAGCATCGAGTTTGACCCACAGATTGAACAGAACCAATACAATCCCCGCGGACCATCGAAGAACAGACACGACAATGTTCTCGTCGGTCGGTCGGTGACCACATGCGATTGCGAAGAGACAGTACGAGACAAAGTCACACATCAGAATGAGATCAACGAGGCGGCGAAAGACGAGCCATGTGTTGTACTCAATGGGAGCCTGTTCGAACGAGTAATCCTCGGGGATCTTGGTCTCGAGTTCCTGTTTAATCCACGCATACAATTTGGAATGGGGGTTTTTGCCTGTCGCCGGGTTGACAAAGATCTTGGTCTTCTCGGCCCACCGGACCAAGGTCTTGTGGTGAGACTGGTTATGCAGAAGCCACCCGATGCCGGCATTGTACCCAGTACGCCAGAAGAGATAGACCACCGCAGCGACGGGTACTCTCGCGGCCTGGGGAAGCAGCCACAGCAACAAAATATGAATACCTAAAATCGCCAGGACCGCGATATCTGACAGGTTCTTGGGCTCCGACGGAGACAGAAGCTGCGAGACCATGTCATGAGTGTGCGGGACAGTGAAGACTACCGGTGACGTAGTGTTAGCGAATCCGTTTGCCTCGACACAATTGCTCGTTTGTCTCCTAGTTTGAGAACAGCGAGAAAGATATCAACGTCCAATTCAAAATCAAACCAGTCTTACCAGTGCCATCGGGAGTCCGGCCATACGTCTTCCTGTCACGGCCATGCTTGTCCTTGACTTCCAGCTCTGCAGCCGCAGCGAGGGCTTTGCGACCAGCCAAGTCGTCGACACTGGAAGAGTCAATCACTCGCTCACGCAGGCCCTCATCGTTACGATGGGCACCTGTCGAAGCTCCCTGATCCATGACTGCAGCCTCAGATCCTGGGAATAATGTTGGGATTTGTGCGAGACGTTGAGAGCTGGGGCAGAAGCATGTGACAGTGACGGTCGTGTGGTCCGTGCATCTGCTTATATCAGCTCGACGTGTCGATAGTTTGAGCGGTCTGATTGCGGGACCCAATGAAGGCGATGCGAGGGAATCCTGGAGGAGCAGGAGGATTTGTGAGTTGAAAAAGAAGCAATACAGCGAGTATTAAAGTAGGTCTGCAGTGAACGTGCCGGAGGTTGTTCATCTGTTAAATCCTACAGCGTACAGCGTATGTACTATGGAGTATGGACGCATGGTTTTGCAGTCCCCAGGTGAGGCATGGCATTGGATACATTACTCCGTATTGTTTTCACAGCATATGCGGGCTAGATGCCTAAGGTAATGACCAATCACTGTCTCTCAGCATCTCTCGGTGAATGTGACTAGTTTTTACTGTCCGTCGAAGCGAGGCAGCCACGCGACATATGTATAAGGTAACTAAATAGCACGTATGCGTTCGTCTACTACATACGGTAGGTAGGGTTGGTAGGAACACCGCCAAGATCGTATAGCAGAAGGGAAGACTCATACTTTGAACAGTAGAATCCGTTTCCCGTAGTTATTGTGTTCGAGTAGTGTCCATCCTCTTCTGTTTCTACCCGGTTTCCACAGAGGTAGAGTGGCCTCTTCGGGGAAGAGTTCATCGATGTAGGCGTGGGCTATGCGATCTTGACATTTCGCATGCTCTGCCAGGGGTATTTTGGCAAGAACGTGCAGTTGCAAGAACAGGGGGGTGAGAAGGTTCTGGTTCGTCATGCTTCGTTTAATCTCACCTCTTAGCTGGCCTGTGGCAGCGAGGATACGACCCTCTTACGGGGCGTTCGAGACTAGACGGTGGCTGCCATTGTTATTTTCCTCGCTTTTTTAACCCTCTGTAATTTAACAACAGAGGGAATTTTGGAAGTGAAGAGTGATTAAGTGGATGAGGACTCGGAGAGGCTGACTCGAGAGTCGGCTGTGATCATGTGACACAATGGCTGCCTGACTGCCTGAGGCCTTAACTCCGACACCGCAGTCTTTTTTTGATCGTCACCAATTGTTGGCTCCGGAATGGATTACCAATCATCTTATCTTCAAACCCCCGCCACCTGACTGCTCGTTTTGAAAACATCACACACCAGTCCAGCTGCTTCTGCGAGAGTAGGTTAATCTCTTAAAGCCAAGGAGGAGACTGGCAGTCTATCGACTGTCAAAATGGCTCCTATGATTGAGCCTCCGACGGCAGACTACGTCGCAGCGACTTCGAAGATTGCTTCGGATCTGGTCGCCCCCGAACCGGGTATGTTTTAGATGTCCGCGTGCCTGCTATTGCTTTGATGGGTAGATCTAATCATGAATATACATATAGAGCACTGCCCTGGTCCCGAATCCGAACAGGCGGGCAAAGGAGATGCCTGCGCGGGCTGTCCCAACCAAGCGATCTGCGCGTCCGCCCCCAAAGGTCCCGATCCGGACATCCCTCTCATCACCGAACGCCTTGCGCATGTTAAGCATAAGATCTTGGTGCTTTCTGGAAAAGGCGGTGTAGGGAAATCGACTTTCTCAAGTCTTCTAGCCCACGCTTTTGCTGTCAACCCGGATTCGACCGTTCTCATCCTCGACACTGATATCACGGGCCCCTCGATCCCGAAGATGATGGGAGTGGAGACGGAAACAATTCATATCAGCAACGCCGGCTGGAGTCCAGTCTGGGTGACGGACAACCTGGGAGCGATGAGCGTGCAGTTCATGTTGCCCAACCGAGACGACGCGGTGATCTGGCGAGGGCCCAAGAAGAACGGACTCATCAAGCAATTCCTCAAGGATGTGGATTGGGGGGAGCTGGACTACTTGATCGTGGACACCCCGCCGGGTACCTCGGACGAACACCTCTCGGTCAACACCTTCCTGAAGGAATCCGGGGTCGACGGGGCAGTGGTGGTGACCACCCCGCAAGAAGTGTCGCTGCTGGATGTGCGGAAAGAGATTGATTTCTGCCGCAAAGCCGGGATTCGCGTCCTCGGTCTGGTGGAAAACATGTCCGGGTTTGTCTGCCCCTCCTGCAGTCATGAGTCGATGATCTTCCGGCCGACCACAGGCGGCGGCCGGCGACTGGCGAAGAAGATGGGCATTCCCTTCCTGGGTGCCGTGCCGCTGGATCCGCGGGTCGGGATGGCCTGCGACTACGGCGAGAGCTTCGTGGATAACTTCCCGGAAAGCCCTGCCTCGCAGGCTATCAAGCGGGTTGTACGATCTGTCAGCCAGTTGATCGGAGAAGACCCAGACCAGGTCCTGCCAGAAGACATGATGGAGTGACCTTTTTTTTACGAAAAAAGAAAAGAAAAGAAAAGAAAAACCTTATGCCATGATATGATGATTCTATAAAGCAAACAGTGGTGCATTTCAACTTGGGCATTGGAGGGCGTTGGGGAATTGGGTGCAGGCAGTGATCCATTCAGTATTCTTTCTCCATTTACTCTGGGATTATTTATTCTCTGTTATTCTTCAACTACTAAATAGATATAGCTATACTTGATGTCGCCAAGGGAACAGGTCATCTTAAATCAAGAAGCACTTCTCATACCCTACTACGCTCATTTTACCATCTTTCTAAACAAGCGATATACATATACCTCATATATAGGTAGGTACCTAATGTATCCGCTGACTCATCCAGATGTTCTGGGAAGGTACCTGAAATGCAAACACAACAAACACATATTAGGTAATACAGTCTATCCCAATATGGATAAGTATAAGAAACACACCAATTACGGCAAACGGTGCAAATCTCCCGAGTCCGAATGTTGGCCCCCGACCTTAAAATTACCGGCTCTGCCACAACACTCATTGTAATCTCAATCAATTGGTCATCCCCCTGAAGGATCGATTGATGACGACGCAATCTTATGTGAGATTCGGACGCTTAGCAGTTACTCCTGAACATGGACGGACTTTTCAAATTGCAGCTGAACCTCCAGCTGGTGGCAGAGATAACGCGTATGTCCCTTAGTTATTGCCCTTCAATGGAGAGCGGTGTATAAGGCTGTTTGGCATGTCAAGCTAGCTAATTATTGGCTTTAGGGAACCTAGCTATCGACTCTCGAGGAATAGTAGTATCTCAGGTGGATAGGAAAAACCTACCAGAGCGCCTTCATGGGAGATGGTAGCTGAAGTTTTATGGCTGGCCGTGCTCCACTTAGGTAGGTAGTAACTAGGTGACAACTTCTGAGATACCCCTTTGGGAAGAAGTTAGCGACGGAGCAGCTAATAATTAGCTTTTTGAAAGATTTTGTCCACGCCAGCTTGAATAGCAATAATAAAGACTGCTTCCAGCCCTCTAGTAAGTTCTTCTCTTTTACGTTTCACCTCTAGAAACTACTACGTCTTCATCATTATACCCTCGAGTATCTACCCGCCATGGCAGGCCGCAAAATTCTCATGCTGACCAACAGCGAGCGTGGCCAGGCCACTGTATGTCTCTCCGTCGCCCACGAGTTCCTCCTCCGCGGCTACGATGTCCATGTCGCATCATTCAATCTCCTCCGCCCCCAGGTGGAAGAGATGAATACTCGTGCTGCGAGCCTGTCAGATGGGGCCGCTGGCACGGCAACCTTCCACCAAATTCACGGCACGGCAATGTTGGAGGTATATGCGCAGAGATGGTCGGCAGATGGACTTCCTACGCATCCTCCTGGCTTCTACGGCGCATTGGAGGCCTTCAGGTCAAAATTCGCACAGATAATTGGGTGTTGGACTGGCCCGGAGTATATGCAAACGTATGAAAGCATAGTGGCTATTATCAAGGAGGTCCAGCCAGAGATCCTCACTGTGGACCCGTTATTTGGTCAGGCAATTGATGCATGCCGGACGCTGGGCAGGGTTTTCACTGTCCTGAGTCCAAATACTTTCCGTGATCATGTCTTCCAGCCACAGCTGGCCGCTCTCTGGAAGTTTCCCTTGTAAGCAGTGATTCCATTTCCTACCTTTTATTTGTCATCTGTTTTATTCGCTTGCTAATGTCCTGGCTGACTGCAGTACTGGTTCTGGCTATCCTTTCCCTCTCCCCTGGAGTCTCTTGTTCCAGAACATGTATCTTGCTATCCAGGTTGTAAAGGCATACCGCAACTCCCCAATCATGAAAGATCTAAACAGCTACCGAAACGACCGTGGTCTCCCAGGCCCTGTGCCTATCTTTAGCGGTCTAAGGAACCCCCGCATTCACTTCGTGCTAGCCTGCACTCCAGAAATTGACTACCCCTGTCATATCACTGAGCGATACATCGGCTGTGGTCCTATCTTGCGACCTTTTCGCTCTATTGCGGTTGAGAGCCCTGATCTGGCGGCATGGTTAGCTAAAGCGCCCACGGTGCTGATCAATCTGGGCTCACATGTCGTCTACGATGCTGAGGGCGTGCGGCAGTGCGTCGAAGGAATCCGAGTTCTTCTTGATTGCCGAAGCGATGTGCAGGTTCTCTGGAAGATGAAGACGGAGGCTAAATCTGACGTCGTCCTGGATGAACTGGTTGATGCCTCTTTTACCGAACGTGTGCGGATCGAGAGTTGGCTAGATGTGGATCCGGCTTGCATCTTGCAGAGTGGGAATGTGATCTGCATGGTCCATCATGGCGGTGCCAATTCCTACAACGAGGCAGTCTCGTATGTTCTTTTCATCC